AAGCACAGCAAAAAACCGATTCCAAAAGTGATAGTAAGGTATCCTCACTTTGGACAACATACTTCAAAGAGCTCTACAGCAGTGAATGTCGGCATCTTGACCAAGACATAAACCAGCAATTAACATCCCATCACGGCAAGAAAGGATCCAATCAGCTTATGAGTGATACAGCCGCTGTTAGTGGTTTAGCTCAAATCTTCCGAACTGGCTGGGTTGTACGTGGCTTCCACAGTATATTCGATTACATCGTTGGTACAAAATCGATGACCAAAGCTGCGGGCAAGGCAGTAAGTGGCTGGACAGCTAAGATTGGTGAAGAGATTGTGGGTGGCCAGCCCCCCAGACTAGCTGATGCGAGCACCCAGGCCGATCTATTGAGCAAATTTGTGGAGCACATATTCATCCATGACGTAAACTATCGGTGGCCACAAGCTATTCGCAATATGGTGGTAGCTTCATTGTTACGACACTATGACGAGTTTTGCTCTACTCTCGGAGCTGACCCAGAGCAACGCTACCAGCAACTGGACCGGCATTTATTCGTGGCAACGGTGAAGGAAAAGTTAGCTCTAGTCGGTGCTACAGATGATATCTTTGATGCATGGAAGAAGGAAGTGAAACTGGGGTTCTTCAATCGCAATCTACCAGCACTGGCAATCCAGAACTTTCCAAGGCATTTGGGTGACGTTACCAATCCATTTCATCAGGTAGTTATGGATCCCAGGTGTTTTGTGGACCAGTTTAACGCAATGGCCGCACACTACCAGGCCTTGCATTCTACACTTGTGCAACAGCAAACCACAATCAATAATCAAACAGCAATGCTGCAGTCTGTGCAGAGACAGCTGGGGGCAACGGAGAAAATGCATGAGAATCAAACTCAACTGCTTATGCAGCTGTGCCGACAGAGCCAAGTTAGCATTGGTGATACTCCCAGTACATTATGCCCCCCAACTATACCACCAGTGACACCACAGCAAGCAACCGAAGGAGATGGCAGCGGAAGCCGTGGAACTGGTGTGCAGTTTACTAGCTCTGCAAAGCACTTCTCGGTATCTGTGAATTCCTTGGGAAAGAACCCCACACTTGCTGACCAGTTCTACTTCTTCTTTGCTGAACGTGCAAAGGAGGGATACCAAAGGGACAAAGAAGACCCCAATCCGGGTGACAATCGACAGCTTGGGAACAAGTTTCAGGGTCTAAAAGAAACAGTGAAGTTCATGCTGAGGTTTTGTGGTGAATTTCCCAGGTCTCCGCCAGGAGATCCTGCTGCCCTAAGAGAATGGTCAGCAATGCTAAAAAGTACTGCTAGTGAAGCTCAAAAACTCATCCGGCAGCAGTTGTACCCAGGACAGCCCCAAAAGGAAATGCTCCAGGCTGCAATGATCGGAAATAAAGCAAAGCAAATTATTAAAGCTCAGGGCCTAACTGATCTCCACAACGATGCTTACCGAACTTTGCCGGAAATGCCAGAGGAGATGATTCTGTGGTTTGGTAAAGATGGACAATCTAATAAACGTCAGAAGACCAGTTAGTAATATTCAATCTAAAACTTTATGTTGTAAATCAACATTCGGTTCTGAGTATGATTGATAATGTCACCCCATTTACGTTCGAATGTTGCTGGGTCTAAGTTTTGGTGAGCTGCATCAAAGAGTACATCCTTACCGGAAGGATTGCTAGGGGTGGCTAGCTTGTCCGATTGTTCGTTCAATTTAGCTGTCTTCTGAACAACTCGTAGCATAAATGAGATACAAACACCATTTGGATCTTGCATCCAGGATTCATGCTTCCAGAAGGCTTTCTGGTGACTCCTGTAGAACTCATCATGTGGATGCAGTAGAAAGCAAGAACCATTTTTCTGCTCAATAAAGAATCGTCTTGAAGGAATCTCCTGCTCAACCCAGCCCTCTACCTTCTCTCCCTTTCTGTTTTTCTTTGTACCCCAGATCGATCGGTACTTACGGAATCCCAGGAATTTCCGGTCTCCTACGGTACCAATAATGACAGGTGAGCCCGGTAATTGCGAATTGTTTACTTTAGGCTTAAAGTTGCTAAACTCCAAATCCCGATGCTGCCTGATCCGCTTTGCCTGGCACTGGCCGTGAGAATTCTCAAACTTGTGGTAGATTTTGCAGCTCACATGGTTGAATCGATATTCCTTTTGACCCCATTCCGGATGAGTTTCCAAAATCTGATCATTGGCAAAAGCGACCAAAGCTGCAAATGGTTCCGACCAGGGGTAAATTTTGAATCCCCTCTGATCGTAGCCAAGTGACATGGAGCCACTACCCATAGCATATGCTGTGCGTAAAATTGTTCTTGTTACTTCGGTAGCTTCCTTGTCGATTGTTGCCTTAATATCCATTCCAAAATACATGTCAGTGGCAGGACGACTCAAAGCAGCTGGGTTGTAATTCTGATAGCATGGAGCCTTGATGATCCGTGCCACAGTTTCCCCACTTGGGTCACCACCACAGTAGAATTGCATGGCATGGCTGGCACATGCAGTTAGGATTCGGTTCCATTCTTTCTTCTGTTTGTCCGGCAGAGTAATTCTGTTGGATGCGAAGGGGAATGGTTTGTCCTTCTTGGCCCTGCTGAATCTCTTGTGGCTGTTGGAGATGGAAATGTCATAGTGCTGGATGACGGGACTAGAGTAAGGCCCATGGTATCTCTGGATTTTTGAACTTCTTGTGGTGCTATGATGGTTGGTAAAAGGAAACGAGAATGAAGTAGAAGAATGATCTGGACGATGGCTGTTGTTCTTATCGGGCGAGTACCAGAGATTGTACAGAAAAGGTACTGGGTCGAGTAGAGCTCGGTACAAATTGTACTTGCAAAAATGGAATGTTGACAACAGTGGGCTGGGCTGCTGCATGTGAGCAACCAACAGGCTTAGCCATAATCCGTTGCAAAGCTAGGATGGGCTGTCATTGGTTTTCTGGGTGTAGTAGTACCTTTCTGAGTGTAGTAGTAACCTCAATGATGGTTGGTGGTGGTTGGTGGCGGTAGTAGCGGCGGATTTGCTGCTGTGGCGAAATTGGGCCCTTTTGGATCCATTTTGCCACTTTGGGGCCACTGTGAGACTTTTTTTACAAAGTGGTTACGCCCAGTAAGGGCTCAGGTGAGGTCAGGGGTTCAATTTTGACAATTTTCCCCTTTTTTTTGCGCTTTTAAAAAGTTTTTTTGGTGTTTGCCTTCAGTACCAGATTGGACATAAAGAGTAAAAAAGCCCTTAATATGCCTCATCTTATACAACATATGTTGTTTTTTAATGGATGTTTTGGCTGCGCCACTACCAACCAGTACAATGGCCACCACCATTGTGGAGCCAACCTTTGGACCTTCTATAAAGTAAGTACTAGAGATGGATTACATAAAATTGAACTAGTTTTAGGCTCCTAAAGATGTCCTTGGTGGGTGCCCAAATTGAGACTGAATGGGGTACTTTGAGGGCTCCATTTTGAAGTCGCCGTCTATTGCTGCGCCGACTTTGTCAGTTTCAGCAGTCCGCAAGGGCATCACAAAAGGATATCCTTTGGGTTTCACAAGATTCATAGGGCTTCATGGTTCTGGAACGGTGCAATCTCAATCACAGTCCTTCCTATACAACTACCAGTGTTGTCTTGCAACTTCAAAGCTACCAACTTGACCACCTGGAAATCATCGTAGTAGAGAATACCATTGCAGAGTCCAAAACAAACTTGCATAGATTGTCGATGTCGGGCCTAATGAGGGCCGCTGAGAATAGGCCATGGAAACATGCCTTCAATGCACCGGCATTGCGGATTCCTCTAACAAAATCACTGTTGGGACGCTTCAGATAGAACTTAATAGTCATTGATACTGCTTCCTTTTTACCAAAAATGGGACCGTTTCTTGCCTCAGGAATAGCAGCCTTGACGGCATCCTTGAATGCCAACATCTCTTGCTTCGCTGGATTGAAGAAGCCATTGCGGTAGTACCTCATACGTGGTAGTGCATTAGGCTTCATGTGGACCTCAGCAGTATACATCCTGTCATCTGTTAGATCAACAATTTCCGCCATGGCCAGTCTTTTGGTTCAGAACATGAGTGGACTGACTTTGTGTGTGGCGGAACTTCATGCTGTGATGGTTGTTGTGGTCTACTCACTGTGAGCAGCAGATTTTACTCTTTGGGTAAACGTATTCTGGTACCCCCTCAAAATGTACTCTTTTACTGTGGAAAAGTATACGTGTATGCTAAAATGACTGTGAGCAAGGTTCACTTAGAGCCGACTGGCGGACAGGTGCAGCTACTGCATTCTAACTAGCCACCTGTGAGTGACACCCCCCCATTTACGTCATCTCCCACACTCACACCACAAACTATTTTACACTGTATGCCAATGCCAAGTGCTGACAGAATGATTCGATTCGATTCGATTAGTCCAATCATTCGATTTGAGTGACAGTCTGGATAGGGTACAGATCGTAGAATGGAATCAAGACCATTGTTACGTACATGTAGCTTTTCAAATAAATACCAGGTACTACCGGTATCGGGTACTGGTACTCCAGCCCACGCCTCCGTACTTTCATCTGCTACACTCTTTGACGTCAGATCTTTCAAATTACTACTACTGGTACTAACTACTAGTAGGATCATCCTGATCCTGGAGTGCTTGGGCAACTCAAGTGACATCAGCTAGTGTTAGAAGAGGAACGACTTACTTGTTCAAGCGTGAATGTACGTACTCTCGTGCATCGCACAACTGGAGCTGGCTACTGGCTACAGTACCACCAGCTACCTGTCCCTGTTAGAGATGGGAGCTGGACCTCACTATTGGAGAACTCTTATCTGAGTATTTCGGCCAAACGCCCAAGCAGTACAGCGTACTAGCTAGAGTACTAGTACGGACGATACGGGTGGCTACGAAGACGGTATGTACGTACCGGTACCAATGGTACGGTACCTTTAAGGTTAAACCTGGTAACATTACATGACGCCTTTCTTCCTCCAGAGATTTAAACAATAGAGTTCATTTATTTGCCTTGGGTACCGCGGTTCCAAAGGACACTCAGTCGTGAATGACGTATGATACTCCTGATGGATCATTCCTCTTTTTTTGAGAAACGATGGCAATGATGTCGGCGTCTCTTGCTGCCTCTCTTCATTCCTGAGTCATTTGGATCATCGTACCGCAGCTTCTACCATCAACGCAACGCACTGCGTAGAATCACTTCTCTCGATAATCAACAGTGTCACCACCATGAATCTCTTCCTCAAGCTCTTTCTGGTCTCCCTTTCGTTGACCCAACCATGTGAGGCGTGGGCTCCATCCTCGGTGGAATCAAGCTCTGCCTCCAGTGCAGGGACAAAGGATGGTCTTTCACGTCGCAACTTTATGGCCACTTCGGTGGCTGGAGCTGTCTTGGCGGGCACTTCCCTGACGGTTCAACCAGCGCCGGCAGCTGCTGCCACCACTGGCCTCGACCTCGTCCAGCCCAATACTCTCAACGGCAAGGTGGTTGTCATTACTGGAGCCAGCACTGGATTGGGGCTGGAATCAGCCAAGGCATTGGCCAAGGGTGGCGCCACTGTGGTGTTGACTGCTCGAAGCGAAAAGAAGGGTGCAACTGCCACGGATGTTGTCAAGCAGTATCTCCAAGCAGAGGGCGTGCAAAACGACAAGTTATACACAGTGCTACTGGATTTGGACGATTTGGCAAATGTCAAGTCCTTTCCTGCTCGCTTTGAAAAGACACTGGGAGAAGGAACCAAAATTGATGTCCTCATGAACAATGCTGGTGTCATGGCCATTCCCGATCGCCAGATCACCAAGGACGGTTACGAACGGACGTTCCAATCGAACCATCTCGGGCACTTTGCCCTCACAGCCAAACTCACTCCTTACCTCAAGAGCGATGCTCGTATCATTAATGTCTCCTCACTCGCCTATCAAATGGCAGGCAAGGGACTCGATTTGGATAATCTCAACGGTGAAAAGGAATACAGCCAATGGGGATCCTACGGGCAATCCAAACTGGAAAACATTCTCTTCACACAAGAACTACAACGACGAGCCGATGCCGAGGGCATTCCCTTGACAGCTACCAGTTTGCATCCGGGAGCTGTCAACACGGACCTGGCCCGTAACATGATGGGCGGCGAGAAAGTATGGTACGAGAAGAAAGAAAGAGGACCTACCAATGCCATGGAGAATATCTTGCAAGCTACAATCAACAAGACCCTCCTGACGCCGGAACAGGGTGCCGCGACACAGGTTTACTTGGCGGCAACCAACGATGCGGAAGAGAAGGGAAAATTCTACTCAGATCTAAAACCACAAAAGCTGCCAGCCTTTGCCACGGATGAACAGATGGCCAAGGCTCTCTGGGAGCAAAGTGAACAACTATCAGGAGTCAAGTTTTCACTGAAAGGCAATTAAAAATTATTAGTTTAGAACTAGTGCATCTACACCTGGTTGGATGGCACTTGTCAAATTGGAAACCATTGATACATGTAGTTTAGAAATCAGGAAGAGAGCGTTGCACGACAGCTCAGCTAGCTACAGTACCTCTTGTCGTGGCATGAAATGGTGTTCAAGTTCAGCCGAGCTATGGTAGGAGTCACCAGTTTACTATCTCGGGTATCAAAACAATGACAAAGCAACCCAAGTCCGCGGTGGACAGTACATAATTCCCGTGGCGATGGGACAGTGGACGGCTATAAATCACATACCGGTAGCAGCAACAGGGCCCCGATGGCGACCTCATTGACTACCTGAACAGACGATACAACATTGCGTACCGTCCTGCTCTGTGAGGAGAAATTGGCACGGTCTTCGCAATGCATGCGTGGCCGACCACACAGGCTTATCTAATCGCGCCTACAGTCATCCTTGCGAAGACTGCTCAAAACACCGTCACTGCTACTTCGCCGTGGTGTCACAGGTTGGCGTCCCAACTCCAACAGACCACTTTTCTTCTGTTTGGCCAATAGACTCGACTGCCGCTCCATCCTGATACCATCCACCATGGGTCTCTACAACCCCAGCTATCTTCACCAACCGAGAGCGTATATCGTGGATAATTCCGAGCTGTCAATCCTTCAATGTAGCATCAATGGAGTCATGGACGTGATGACAGTCTGGCTGGCCGAATCAGCGCTTCCGCTTTGGGTTCGAGGGTGGTTGGCCATTCTTCTTATGGGTGGATATTTGCTCCCTTTTGCATTTATCCCCCACCCCTTTGGGATTACGAATGCGGTGTGCTACTTTTTAATGATTATGATTGCTGGTCCGATGCTGGTCCAGATCAGGGGAATGGACAAGAACGCGATTGCTGTAGCTCAGTACATCGCCTGTACACCGATTTTGGTTATCAATATATTGTCCCTGACAACAGATTGGATCGGAGACGAACAATTAACTTGGGACAACGCTGATACGGGTTACGAGAAAGCTAGGGTCGTTGCTTGCTGGATCAACACGGGTATATACGTAGTTTCTCTGCTGTTTGATCTACAAGATTCCTATCAATATTGGATTCTGGGAAACCAGGCTATTGTTCGAAGTAAATGGACCACAGAGCAACTTGAAAGCGGCGATTGTGGAATGAAGAGACTTGAAGGCGCACCAGAAACCGTAAAAGAAACTCCAACAATGGACACCATACCGGTACCGAGTCGACCACCAGTAACCCGACCCGTACAACCAGGGAACTATGATATTTCAGAGCATTCAGTCTGAAGGAATGACTGACTCAATCAATTGTACCGTCGTGATACGGTATGTAGCTAAATTCTGAGCAAGTAATTCCTGGTTGTGTGGTGGAATACATGTACATTGTGAACAGTATTCTTTTCAATCATGATGTGTTGAGTAAGAACCGGGTTTCTAAACATCGAGGTGGGAGCGAAGTGTAAATTGTTGGTGTCACTCACTCCCTTGCAAGAAACTAAATTGAAGTGGCTGAGGTGCGTACCGGTACTTTCAGACGTGCTTAGGCACGAGCGTCTCAAAGCTGAAGATTGTTTGAATTTAGTCTCGTAGACTAGTGACACCGCTATCATAGAAGCAAACACTCCAAACTAGTCCGACACAACCAAAGAAAATGATGAAACAGAATCGATATCTACCGGTTCCCACAAAACTCAAGGCCTTGTCCGCAAAAACAGCAGCATTGTTTTCTCGGTCCAAGCGACGAGAGTCCCATCTCCCACCAGCGTGTGAGACCGTTGATATCCTGATTGGCGAAATCGCTTCTCTAAAGAGCACCATCGATGCACTCGAATCTGGCTTCTACGATGCATCTACTTCCAAAGTACACATCAGAAAAACGAAGGCAGGACCTAAGACTCACCGAGAGTACACAAGGTTGCTGGAATCCATTGGCCATCTCCCCAACTTGAAGGAGCTCTCGATAGTCTCAATCGACGGAGATGACTTTCATTTGCCAATTGAAGCCCTTAAGAAAGCCCTGCGAGGTGCCTCCCCAACAATCTGCAAGGTCAAGTTGCAAAAACTTAGACTCCTGTGTGGACACTATCGTGACTTTGAAATCCGAGGTGTTTCCCTTAAACTGCATCGTCTGGAAGAGATTGAGATCAGCCACTGCTCTGAGGGTTTTATTGAAAGTTCAGGCGTGATTTCCCCGGTCGGACTATGCCTAGGAGGCTTTCTGGAAAGTCTAACTTCTGCTCGGTCTCTGAAAAAAGTGATTCTGCGGCAAGATTCGGTGGAGACCGTTTTGACGCAACGCACCGAAGCCCTCGTACAATCTTGCTTGCTTTTGGAAGAACTCGTCCTCGCGGGCCTTGTCACTGAGGTGTCTGTGTGGGATACTATTGTTCCCAGAATAAATCATCTATACGCACGAAACATCAAGAAGCTGCATCTTGACCGCTGTCGCTTGACCACAGCCAGCCTTGATTCCTTTTTGGGTTTGTTGGGTCCTGACTCGCCTCTGGAAGATTTTGAGTTCGTGCCAATGATCAATGGTTTGGCGTTAGGCGCGTGTTTCTATACAATGGGAGACCCCAACACGCCACGACGCATATCATGGGGCCGTCATGTGGAGGCCGGTGCTCTCACTTGGACTAAGTTATTGGGTGAAGCCGTTCCGAAGGCGCTTGAGTCCAACACGCGTCTACGGAGGCTAAGGATCAAAGCAGAGGGAGGCGTCAACTTGTTTGTCCCGGTTGCAATTCAACAATCCTGGCTGGAGCTGCTCGAAAAAGGCCGCAATAGAACAATGTTGGACTTTGGGTTCTTCAGGCGTGATGGTTACACCTTTGGGTACGAAGATCAAGAGCTTACTGCCAAACTGGAGCACTATCTGAAGCTCAACCGATACGTTCCGATTCTTGAAGCCATGAAAGACGAGGAACGAGACCATACCATTGTGCAAGTGTTGGCCGATGCATCAGACGACGTTCCGTGCTTGTTTCATGTTCTCCAGAAATATCCGTACGTCTGTTCACTCGCTTGAGCCACCAGGACGATGATTCGATTGATCCTTCGAAACCCGGCCTCTTGATACTTCGAATTGGTGGACAGCAGGTCTCACGACCAGACGATACGCAATGAACTTGTAATACAGTATTGAAATAGTCTACTACCTGCTGGATTTGCCCTGATGAGAAGGGATGTTTCTGGCTCTCCACAAAGTGCCATACTTTCTGCGGTGCGGGCCCACGACGAAACCAGACTGCCTCCATGCAACTGAATATCAGCGTGGGCCATGTAAGCATCGGGAATGATACCGAGGTGGGTTGTCGTGTGTCTCATACGCCTCCCAGCCAGGCAATGCGGTTAGTCCATTCCCAGCTGATAGTCGGTCATGTCAGGATCTTCTTCCAGCAACTTTTGTTCCGTCTTTTGTTCCTTGATTGAGGCAAGGAATTCATCCAGGAACGCATTGTATTCCTGAGGGTGAGCCATCAAATGTTGACAGTGCTTGGATTTCGTAAATCGTTTCACCATCATTTTGCTTTCTGGACGCTTCTTTCTATATTCAATCACCTCCTGGACCTTCTCATAGTCCGTCAATCTGTCTGAGGTGCTGTAAATGTAACCTTGTCGCTTGGCGATATCTGAGTCCAGCATATGCTGCCAGTGCAATTCGGCTCCGGGTTTTTGTTCCGTCAGCTTGCAAATGATCATGGTGATAACGGAAAACACCACGAACATGAACTGGATAATAAGTTGCACAGTTCTATTGGGAACTCCGGCCGCAATCGCCTGGATCCCAGTGCCAACCCCCAAGTAAGCTGGGCTGGAATCGAAGACCTGTCCGCCCCTCTGTATAGCATCATACAGGATCATCAAGTCCTCCTGATTGCCAGTTTTTGGTTCTTTGGCATCTCTAGCCTCCATCAGAAGAAGTTCCAATTGCTCCAAAACAACACATCCACCACCACTGAAAACATGAATGATGACTGGGATTGTCTTGTCTTCAGATGCTTTAAGTAGCTTGATTGCTTCTTTGGCAGCATCCATACCCAATTTCTTCAAGTTCTCGTTTCGCTTGAACATGACAGACTGAAGGAAGGAATCAATAGGACACGCCAACACAATGATGAGATTCAAATTAGAGCCGCCTGAACCATGAAACACCACAAATGCAACCACCAACTAACTACTCACGGCAGTGTCCCCCATTCCGTGAATGGTCGAGCATTTTCTTTCTCGATAGAGTTGAGCATAATTTCTCAGGTGCCTCGATTGAGATCCTAACCAGCCAAACAGTATTACAATAGCAGGGGGTGTTCCATCCTCTACGGCATGGACTTCAAGGAAGGAATCGTCAAGGTCGGCCATGGTGTCAACTAGACTACTCAAAACAGATTCAGAGGGGATCTTTTGAGAGTGCAGTGACAGAAGACGCAGAACGGCAGAACGGAGGTTTTGTTCACGAACGTGGCTCACTGGCTCCTAGCTAGCTAGGTACAGTGAGTAACCAAAGGTACATCAATGGCGATCTGGGATCTGTCCCTTGTTCCCTACTACTAGCTAGCTAGTAGTAGCTACCGTAGCCACCATAGCTAGTTCGAAGAAAAAATAAGTGGTGAGGTAACTTCACCGACAAACAGGTCAACAAGACCTTCTTGAGGGCAGGAGGCATCAGTCTTTGCACTAGCTAACAGCTAGCTAGAGGGAGCCACTCCTCGAAATCCTGAAACGAATCACCAGAGAAGCTAATGAACTCCTGCAACGAAATCTACAGAGTTTGCCTCCACAATCCCACATTTCACAAGTACCACAAGAGCCCAAGCCCTGATGATTTCGATGGGGGCTGAAAAAGTCAAACAACTGAAAAGTTACGAAGAGGAAAGTCTGTGTTTTAGTGATTCAGCAGTTGGTGAGTAAACTTACAAGTTCAGTCACTTTTTGCTAACATCATACAACACTTCACAAACATAGGAGGCCAGAAGAAGGGGCGACTGATTCAATCGATTCGATTCATTCAATCAGCTAAAAAACTAGTAATAAGGTCCATTATGCATATTGATTTGAGATATAGTGCTATCTTGTAGGGGATGAACCAGGCGCCTCGCTTCGATTCTTTGGAAACCTGGCACAGTGTTAGAGAGCCAGCTCTTGAGCAACGGCAGTGCCGGTTTCACAAGCCACAAACTGACGTATGTAAGAAGGCTCTCTTCCATCTGTCAAATTGCAGGTTTGTTTGCTTGCTTGCTTGCCTGTACTGTACAGTACGGTACGCCTCCTGTTGGTTTCATTGTTGCCACCACAAAACTGAAGCTGATCAGCGACAGCCTACTGCTGGGACAAGGTGGTACGAAACTGGAATTCTTCCCTGTGACGTTTCAGAAGAGAGTCCAATTTCTTTCTGTTCTGGAGCATGAACTTCTGGTCTCCGCGAGGGTAGATGGGGTCATGACGGTCATCAACCCAAAAGACATCCTCATCAGATAATGACGAGTTGTCGTTTTCTGTAGACTGTTCTTCGTCACTGTCAATATCCATGTCTTCCTCCTCATCATCTTCCTCATCATCCGAAATCTCATTCGGATGCCAACCTTTGGTATTGGCAATGAACTGCTCTGCAAAATCTTCCGAAATGGTCAGACATCCTCTCAAGATGGTATCCACATAGGACTGAACAATAGGAGTGTCTTCGGAAGGAGGGGCAAGGTTCTGTTGCATGTACATCCAAATTCGGATCGAACTTTGGTCTTGTGTCATGGCCTTGGCCTGCCAAAATGGGTCTTTCTCGTTCTTGTTGGAATCCAAAAAGGGCACCGGCTCCACATCATTAATATACAACGGCACTCGATTGTACCCACGCTCACGGGCATCGAATTGACTCAACTCGCGATCATTCACAGGCACCAGCACTCCCACGCACTCGGCGTCATCTTCGAAACGAACACCCATGGCCGTGAAACCAACGCTGGGGACCGCTTTGGCCCACGTCCGCTCCACATGCCGCACCAGCACCGGAGTGACTGTCTTTTCCGCCAATGTGGGAGCTGTAATGGCGCGACTGTGAGGGCAGATCAAGGACCCGTACCCAAAAACGAACTGTTGAATGGAATTCATGGTCTGATGTTTGTTTTGACAACGAGGCAAAAAATTATGCAAGAAATTCCTTTGGGATTGATTCCTTTGAGAGGTTGGGAGGTTGAGAGGTCTTGATTCCAAACTCGCTGTTCCATCATGATTGGGACAAGGCTTGTCATGACACGTCATCATCAGGAATATAAATGGAAGGACGCACACTGACCATGACTGTCAATATTCTTCCACGGTCAAGCAAATCCACAATACGGTATCCAAAATAAAGGACAACGGAGGTGTAATAGATATACCGGGCGAGCTGAATTGAAAGATGGGCGGGCATAATAATATTGTTAAAGTTTGGCTGAAGGTAGTGTCATTAGATTTTTCCGTCTGAGAAAGTGGCGTGGTAGCTTACGGGAGTTTAGAGGTGTGCAACGTGAGACGTAAGATTTCTCCGTCTGAGAAAGTGGTGTGGTAGCTTTTTCCGTCTGAGAAAGTGGCGTGGTAGCTTACGGGAGTTTAGAGGTGTGCAACGTGAGACGTAAGATTTTTCCGTCTGAGAAAGAGGCATTGTAGCTTACAAGAGTTTAGAGGTGTGCAAGGCCAGTCATTAGATTTTTCCATCTGAGAAAGTGGCGTGGTAGCTTACGGGAGTTTAGAGGTGTGCAACGTGAGTCAATAATTTTTTCCGTCTGAGAAAGTGGCGTGGTAGCTTACGGGAGTTTAGAGGTGTGCATCGTGAGTCAATAGATTTTTCCATCTGAGAAAGTGGCGTGGTAGCTTACGGGAGTTTAGAGGTGGGCATCGTGAGGAAAATATTAGGATCCGTTGCTACCGTATGATTATTATGAGAATGCGTGAGAAAGAGGGGTTGAAGTAAATCTCTAACCCTAAGGATAACCAACCAACCAAACCCACCACCACCACAATAAACGGGGTCAGAGATCACCGGGGTCTGCCCGGTATATTGACTTCCACATGGTCAGGCATACACGGTACTGTACCGACTGGTAGCAATGTGGATGCATGAAGCTCGAAGCTCACTTGTCTAAATTAGCGGTACCGTTACAATGATACAATGATGGCTTTTGAGTTTGCAACGAAGCTTGAATGATAATGTGAGGTGCGTTGTGATCAAGCAAGCCTTCAGCATCTCTGCGCTTGCCTTCGGTCCAACTTAACTGTACTAGTAGTAGTGCTGTTTACCTTGCTTGCTTCTTGTCCTCGGCCAATCTCCAGGAGTCCCAGACTCTTGTACTTTCTTGCGCACCTTTCCCCTTTTTTAAAAGTTTGGTCCTGCGAATGAAATTGTAGCGCTTCCAAGGTTTGTGGAGGTATGATCACCGACTAAAGAAGATGAGTTGGCATACAGTACTGACTCTACACATACATGTGGCTACGATGGAAGTGCCGCTGCCGCTATGTTCATTCTAGCATCGCAGGTTGACGTACAAGGTATTATTCTAAGCGCTGAAGTCCTGCTACTAGCTGGCTAGCTAGATCTTTCTCGCCCTTCAATTTCCCATGGTTCGCCACACCATTGGAAATTGGAACGCCCCATCCAGTCCTCTCCTTTCGTTGTACCCCTACCGGTATGTCTACTATCTCTCGAGCTTCCGCAGCCCGATTGCTCATCTGCTGCCTCTACCCTTTCGAAAAGTTAGTTTCTATATCTTTGGAACCTTTTACCACCAAAGGTGCATGACTTTCATCTTCCCCTCCGCCCAGCAATCAATATGCTACAGCTGTACGGAGGATTGAACTTGCGAAGTGAAAGGATCCTTGAAATCCTGCCTAGTCTAGCTAGTAGTAGGGACCACACTTTATGCTTATGCTGGCATCCACGCTTCATACAAAGGACAATAACCTGTGCTTTCTGCGTTGTTCGAAATTGGTTAAAACTAATGGTGATTTCGGTTCGGTTCTAGTGCCTTACTCCTTCATGTCATCATACAAGAAAGTGGTCCCAGTTTTTCCGCAGTAGTAGCGATCATGGTGCTGAGCCATGAAGCAACCAATTCCAGCAACAGGAGAGTATTTGCGAAGGCGTGTCACCTTGCCGTCACTCTCGACCCGATAGTATTTGAGGGTTTGAAGAGCTATTGTCTTGTTGGTTCGCTTGACCTTCTTTGGCTTAGTGTAGACCTTCTTCTTTCTCTTCTTTCCGCCTCCACGAAGCCTTAGAACCAAGTGAAGCGTGGATTCCTTTTGGATATTGTAGTCACTGAGGGTGCGCCCATCCTCCAGCTGCTTTCCAGCAAAAATCAAACGCTGTTGATCCGGTGGGATACCCTCTTTATCCTGGATCTTTGTCTTCACATTATCAATGGTGTCACTCGGCTCCACATCAAGAGTGATGGTCTTGCCTGAGACGAAAGAAAAAGACGAACAGAGAAGGTTGAGCCATGGAAGAAACGATTCGAGCCGATGTGCCACTGACGAACATCCCGCAACCGAGGAGGTACGCCCCTGCCGCAATCATATCCCAACTTACCCGTCAAGGTCTTCACGAAGATCTGCATGGTCGTCTATCTTGATTCGATGCTTCTAGCTAAGATGCAATTCACAGATGGTAACAACGCTGTTGCTTCCACAAAACCACAGCACAAGGGCAGCAAAGGAGACGATGGGTTGACGCGCAACAGTTTGTGTTACCTCCAACCACTTACTAAAATAAATCGAATCCCGAAAAACTCGTCACTCGTCACTCACACTCGCTAATGATTATTCTTGACCCTTTCAAGGCAGAGGCTCTTGCTACCGGTACTGGCTACCGTATGTGTAGTCATCTAGAGTCTACTAGCACTAGCTACGACTGTAGTATCTGCGCTGTGCGCTCATTACATACATGTACTGTATTGAGAGTGGAAATGCCCGTAGTACCGGTAACGGGCGGTGAAGCCCCCGATACGGCAGATACCACGCTGAAAAAGTCGTGAAAGTCGCTAAACATCGCGTGACTTTCGCAACTTTGAAAATCGCGCGACTTTAAAACGACGTTTACTGCGACTTTCGTGTCTTTGCAACTTTGCGCGACTTTATCAGTAATTTGATAGCTTAAAATCGCGACTTTAAACGCCTTTACCAACTTTCACCACAATTTTGACAAAGCGACTTTCTTCGCGATTTTAACGACTTGCGCGACTTTCTGCGATCGCCATTCGACGACAGTACCGGTCGCTCAGCTCGATCTACTAAGATCTGTGTCCTTATGGATGTCCTTACCACTAGCCTGATCATGGACAACTAACTGTCCCAAGTTGAGGGAATAGGTGTTCAGACGAAGCCAGGATCCAAGCCAGCAAGGTCCTCATGTACGGTATATGCAGGTTTCCGTATTCGTAGGACTAGACCCACCCAACCCTCCCTGGGCTTGGGCATTCCTGCCTCTAGCTAGTAGTTTGGGTACCTGACGCGGTCACTATAGCTACCAGTAGACATGTACCTATCAATATAAATACACTACAAAGTTCCTCGGAACAAGAGAACTCAAAGGAGAGGAGCGTTCCCTCAAATAATTGCCACATTCACCATGTTGGCTTTCTCGTCAACCTTGAAGATGCCGTCGCCGTCGTCATCATCATCATGGACTCGACTGCAGTGTGAATTACTCCTTTCCGAGTAGTCATGGAAGCTGCCCTTGGAGAGGACTTCTTCGAGAGTGGGAGGCTGCGGTGCGTCACGAGCCATCAAATTGGTCGGTCGTGGCTCAAAGCTGGCAGCACGGCTCTGCCTCCTGTAAAAGAAGTACGCGACGGCTCCAATTGCAGCAAGATTGACAAACAACACAATCGCAAGAGTTCCTCCTGTGGATAATCCTCCACCTTCCCCTCCGCTGCTTTCATTGTTGTTGGTTTGGAGGTCCTCTACGACACTGTCATGTATATGCGCTGCTGCAGTTAGCTTCTGACAATGCTCGCCTTCAAAACCTGTTGGGCAAGTGCAACCTGGGTGCCTGAAAGAGTGTAATGATTTGAAAAAGAACAATGAGTACATGCATCCATTGAAGCATCCATCTGCTTTGCAAAGATCGATTCCCTTTGCTTACTTGTCGTTTTCTCCAACATGATCTCGGCATCGTCCTCCATTGACGCAAAATGCATGTTTGTTCAAACCGGCACCCACACGACCATTGAGGGTGCACATATCTGTGGATCGAAGCTCGCAAAAGTCTCCAGCATACTTGTGGAAAGGTGTATGAACTGAGTCACAGTCACACTTGTACCTCAGTCTGCCGTCACTATCATCGGGCACGCACGATGCTCCATTCATGCAAATGGATTCGCCACCGGGGCAGACCTCGACCCTGTGTTCACATTGGAGGCCGACGTAACCCTTGGGGCAAACGCAGTGCTCAAAGTTGTTGGAGGCCGTCGCTTCGAGGTTCGGCATGTCCACGTTGAACTTCTTTAAGAATCCCACATCCTTGGCGCCGCGTCGACAGACTCCGTTGTGCTTACATGTTAGCTTGCACTCCTCAGAATTGTCATTCACAGAATCTCGGAACTCGCAAATGGGCCCGTTGAACCCTTCCAAACAGTCGCACCCTAGATGTCTATGTCATCGCATCGTCAAGAGGGGCAAATGGTAAGAAGCCTGCGAATACGGCGATTTGGTACAACAACACCAATGAACAATCCATCACTTACGAGTCCATTCGACACTGTCCTCCGTTGACACAGAATTGGTGTCCATTGTGATCCGGCAGCTTTGTGCAGAACGAAGTTGACTCAGACTCACAGCGCTGACCGGCAAATGACGAGCCTCGATCATTTGCAGTTGTGCAATCGCAAAAGTGTCGAGTTGTGCCATCTCCCATTTCTTGATCGACGCAAGTTGCTCCATTGAAGCAATGCTCGTCTCCACAGCGCTGGCCCTGAATCTCGCATTGCAATCCGAAGTAGCCTGGCTTGCACGCGCAGTATCTGTTGTCATCATGAGTCTTCCAAAACTCTCTGTATGCTTCATTCGGTGGATAATCCTTAGATCCAATTCTGCAGTGCCCATCATTTTCGCACATAAGATCACATCCGGGAACTTTTCCATGCTCGTATTCACAGTGAGGTCCTTCGAATCCATTCTGACAGATACAGGGCTGGTCTAAGTAGTCCATAAAGTTTTCGCGGCACTTGGAACGAAAACACAGACAAAGTTAGATCCCAATGCTACCAGTAAGTGCGATATTGAACCAGACGAGGAACTCTATAGGCAGTCTTACCTTTCCGCCATTGGTACAAAAGACGACACCGAATTCTGGTTGAATTCCACAAACATCTACTGCCTCGGCCTCGCAGTACTTGCCGGCATAGTTCTTTCCCTCAAACTCAGCATCGCCACAGTCACAATAATGCTGATCGACTCCAAAAGCATCCTTGAGACCTGTCAGGCACTTTCCACCGTGGAAGCAGAAGTGAGCTCCGTCGCCACAGGTCTGATACTCGCGTTCGCACAGAAGGCCAGTTCGACCTGGTGGACATTGACAATAGAAACCTCCGCTGTCACGGTCTCTCATGAAGGGGACATTGTTTGCAATTGCCATAAATTCACTAAAGTCAGCATTTCCTCTGGCGCATGCCCCATCAGCTTGGCAGTTCAAGGGACATGACGCGGAAGCAAGGTTTGAGAGAGCCTGAGCATTGGCTGACCTTGACAAGGCCAGTGTGGAAAGAACGGCCAGAGCCGCTACACCGCAAGTCTTCATCCTTAGAGCTTGGTTGGGTATCCTGTTCTACTAGCTAATAAAATGGTAGTACAAGTACCAATTAGAAAATGGTGAACTGTGGCATCTCCTTTGTGCGAAATATCATCCAACGACAGTTGAGATAAATTTTGAGGTCTTGTTGTGGAGGCAGTTTTCAGTGACTACAAGAATGTCGGCGTACGATCCACTTTTCTATTTAGCGTGAAGGCTCACGCACTGGAGGAGGGAGATGGGGTGAATTAAATCACCGCTGCTCTTTTTTTCATCAGGCGAGGTCCTATCCAAACTCCATGTGTGTCCTCCGTGCATTCGCGAAACACATTTATTTTCGTCGATTTATTTAGGCGTACGTATCAAGATTTCATTCCTATCCATGTGACACACATACGCGGTACGCGAAAGAAACACCACCGCAAATCCCCAACTCTAACGAAAATCATCCTTTTCTGTGAATACCGTGTGAGTACCGTGTGAGTACCGACTCGGTGAAGTACTGTGATTTGTATAGTAAAAAATGGTACGTGTGCGAGATCTCACTTTTCGATTTTCGTTAGAGTTGGGGATTTGTGACCATGATTGAGTTCGGCTGGCTCTAACGTTCTGATTGGTCCTACGCGAAAACCATTTCCATGAAAGCTACGGTACGGCGAATTGAGAATGGGAAATCAATGGTTCGCCGTACCGCAGCTTTCATGGAAATGGAGGGAAAGCAAGCCGCTTTTTGCCGTTATCTTGATTTCACTCTAAGAGAATTTTCTACCGTTCGTTTAGATATCTATGAACCTTTTTCGTTTTGATATTTAGAGGATAAACTGTCACCACTGAAAAAGGAGTCTCTATCAGTTTTGTCTATTTTTCGTTTCAATTCACTCACTGGACTGTCACTCAATTGCTTGACTTATTGGACTCGACTGGTTGACTCATTGGACTCACCGACCCTTTAAATCCTGACTGGTTATTTCGGTGATGACAAAATCAAAACAGAGAGCAGTTGTTCGTTTTGATTGGCTTGATCTAAACAAAAATTTCGTTTTCGTTTAAATTTGGTCCAAACGGAATCTAAACAGCATATCTACAACAGTGATAGAAACAAGATGTGATCAAATTTGGTTTAGATTGTGTTCAAATGACCCAATCTAAACGAAATCTGATGGTACGGTAGAAGATGCTCTAACTCATTGATGAGTGTCACTACATACATGCAACACCCTTGTCATATCAAATGTTCTGAATCTGGATGACAGGATAGGAGCTACGTAGGATACCAGACACGATATTCCCTTCTTTACACAAAATCTATCAATGGAGCGACAAAGGTCATTCGCGGTTCCTTGCTTTCTAGGTTTCAGGCGCTACTACTGTACAGCAGTACCGGTACATCATCCTACCGTATGCACACAGTACCCTTACCGCTATGCAGCATGCTCTGGCTAACAGCCATTCCTCAGTTCGGTTTTAACCTTTCCCAGCTGAGGGGGCCAACTCTCTCTGCCCAATGCTTGTAGGGATTATCGGTTTAGGCTAGCGGCATGGTAGACACGTTTTAACTCAGAGTAGCCTAAAAACATTTCTATTATTATTAATTAATTAAGCAAAGAGCTTTCAGGCCCCATCCTGCTCATGTACGTACCGTTACAGCACTACGGTAGTATGATATCTACCGACGGAGCTGGCCAAGTATGACATAGTCTAAATTAAGAGCCTTCTAGGTCGTCTCCACGCACAATGGCAACAAAGTAGATCCAGGCAATCAACTTGTACTGCTCTGGTACCATTTAAAATGACAGCTTACCTCTGGTTCGGCTCGCAGGCTCGCCTCACCCTCGAACATTCCCGGCAATCAACTTGTACTGCTCTGGTACCTTTTCTTTTAAAAAATGACAGCTTGCCTCGGGTTTGGCTCGCAGGCTCGCCTCACCCTCGAACATTCTCTGCAATCAACTTGTACTGCTCTGGTACCTTTTCTTAAAATGACAGCTTGCCTCGGGTTCGGCTCACAAGCTCGCCTCACCCTCGTGCATTCCCGGCAATCAACTTGTACTGCTGCTCTGGTGCACTGGTACCTTTTTAAATCACAGCTTGCCTTAGGTTCGGCTCGCAAGCTCGCCTCACCCTCGAGCATTCCAGGCAACCAACATATGATACTGCTCTCCTGGTAGCTATTAGCTAGCTGGATTGCATTTGATTTGACTTGATTCGATTCATCATTCTGATTTGTATTCTTCTACAAGGATTGGAATCAATGCAATGGAATCGAATCACAATCAATTGGGCGATTGGGCGGTTGGACGGTACCTGGTACGGTACAACTGAACTAGAGTACCGGTACCAGTACTACCGAACGGTTAAGGTGGTAAGCCACGAGCTGTAAGCCAGCTCCAGTCTGCAGACGGATTTGACGTTCTCTCGCACATATGTTTCGTATAAATTAGGGAATTTGGAATCTTCAACTTGCCGGATTCCGCTCAACATGTTCGATCAACCGACCAGTGCTGTTAGCGACCTCATTATCTCAGTTGCTGCTGCTAGTATGGCCCTGCAAGTAAAGCATTATCTCTTCCTTATACTGTAAGGAAGAGAGTAGGGGTTGGTTGTGGGGCCATACTTGCAGCAGCAATCGAAATCTAAGGGCTTCCAGCAGGGAAGGAACATTCGGTCGACAGCTTCTGCATCGCGACAGAAGGGTAACAGGCCGATCAAACATCGGCCAAAGCTCGACTGTTACACCTCGCCAACACTATTAGCAACAGCTCCTGTATGCTCAATGGTCGGATCGATGGGCGCAACAGCGATTCCAGCACACCTTTAGCAGCAGCATCGAACAACATCGTTTGTCGCGATATTGCTAGTTAAAATAAATAAATAATTAACAATTTGGCGCTGGCTTAAAGTCCGTGGGTTACCACCTTAAAGCGATGACAACTTCAATGTGTGACTGGTCATTGCACTTAAGTCTTTTTATGTGTATCGGCATCCGTTGGTGTCCACCGTGTCATTGCATCATCAAATAAATTCAATACAATTAGTCCAGAGTAGCACGCGTGCCTAAAGCACCTCCTTGCCCCCAACCCTTTCTTACTAGCTAGTAGTCGTCTCTATGGAGACGAAATATGCACATACATGGCCGCTGTACCCGTATTGGGTGGGCATGGACCCACCGTTGCTTTCCACGGGAGGTCTGCTACTCGTTTTTCGGATCCGCTTGCTTCTCCTGCTCCCTTCATCTTGGTGCAACGTGATCTTGCTTACGAGTACTTTTTTCTTCGCGAAGGTACCGTACATCCCTGAAGATAAACAGGGGGGGGGGACATTCCTTAGCCAAGCTTCAGGGCTGAAACTGAAGGATCATCCTCATTACTCAGTTCTAGCTAGCTACGGGTTGGGAGAAAGAAAAGAGGTGACTCGTCACTCGCATGGACTCCACCCATCGGCATATTATTAATACGGTCTGAGACAAAAAATCTGGACAGATTTTTGGCTGTGAGCCAGATTTGGCCCAGGTTATGTGCCGATAATAAGCGGACCCGCACCCAAATTATCTGCTAATAATTTGGGTAGCAGACTTAACAGACCGGTACTAAAAGCACTTCCTGATGCACCCCAGCCATTAAATGACCGACCAGTTTCTATTCACAAACCGAAAAAGCTGCAAGAATTTTTGTCTCAGTTTCCAGGCAGTACTAGTACTGTAGTAAGTATCGCTCAAGCACAAAAGAACACAACACCATTACACCAAAAGACACCAACACCAACACCAACACAATGGAGGAGCAGCGGCCGATCGCTACCGGTACTTCCGGTACGTCATACTCCTGCTATTACGAGGTAAGCCTATTATCAGATGTATTATTGTTGAAGGCGCAGCACTGACTTCTCTCCCTCATTGAATTGCTACGGTAAACAGGAGAGAAATCCAAGCTTCACCAACAAGAGTGGTGGTTATTCAAGCTCGATCGATTCGAGGTAAGCCTATTATCAATAAGGTAAGCCTAATACTATCAAGAGCGTTTGTTGAAGGCACAGCGCTGACTTCTCTCCCTCATTGGATTTCTATGGTATTCAGGAGAGAATTCCAAGCTCGGCCGTCAACAATGGTGAGTGCTTTATCCAATCGGCCTTGGTTGAATCGATCGATCGAACGACTGGTACGGTTCGAGGTAAGCCTATTATCAAGAGTGTTGTTGAAGGTGCAAATTTAAAAGCCATCCCTCATTCATTTCTATGGACCATGGGCAGGCAGGCAGCTCTCGGCCGTCAACAGGTGAGTTGTTTTAATTATTATTCGAATCAATCGCATCTCTGTTATCCAAGCCTCACTCAAGCCGTCCTTCTCCGGTGTAGATTTGAAAGCCATCCCTCATTGAATCATATGGACCATGGGATGGCACTCAGTTCTCAGCCCATGACGGCCAAGTTGGTGCAATTTGAATAACAAGGGCAAGTCTCCGGTCGTCTGCAGTTCAGCACAGAAAACAAAGCTCATATCTATTTGTTGTTTTCTCTGCTGCACTGCTGACGGCCGACGAATTACCATTGCGGAGCGTTCGAACGAACGAACGATCGCTCGCTCCGGATAACAAGAGGACCGGCTACCGCTACGCCGGAGACGGTTAACTCAAGCCCTGCCAGCATCCTGAACGATCGATCGCCGGATAACAAGAGCAGCAGTCGATCGCTACGGAGTACGGAGGAGACTGTCAGCTCCAGCCCTACCAACAGCCTGAAAAGATGGTCGTGGCCGAGTCATTGAAAGTTAACCGAAGGAAGGCTACACGACAAACTCACACGCACACAGGAGAGTGGATCCTCCCATCGGATTCATCCCTCCAGTGCTATTTCCTAGTTTTTGGTGGTGATTCCTGTATCGGTACCCATTATCCTGTATGCACAAGTCGGTTTTGAGGATTTGGCTAAGTCGACGACGACGATAGATGTACCGGTAGCAATCTTGTATGATAATAGAACGATTACCAACCAATAGACCATACCCGTCATTGAATAGACACCATAACCATCAATATCAGAGCTAGCTCTAGGAACGATAAGCTTTCCTCATACGTAGATGGTGAAGGTACAATACTAGTAGTACCGGTACCAACCTGTATCATAGGTTTGACCGCGTTTGCAATGCAGTTTTGAATCTACCCTCTCCAACTATGGCCAACTCTGCGCCATCCTCAGGATGCATAGAGTTTTAGCAGGATGACTCTGCGCCATAATTTCTTGGTAGATTCTGTACTGAGGGTTACGTGGGCAGACCGGTAATAGACCGTAGACAAAAGTGCAACCTCAGCCAAAATCCATTTTTGGCTGCAGTAGAATCAGTACTGAGTCACGGTCCCTTTTCAATCCCAGGGATTTGCCACAGACTTTTTAATGAATAATTAAAAACCGGAACCGTGATAGTCTTTATTAAAAACGGACCGGCTTACTTAGGGGTTGAGGCAGGGACCCGAGGTCGGAGGTCTGCCTAAGTAACTGACCGAGGGCTTAAGAGAGGGCGCAAGCCCGACAGCCCGATGGTCAGTTACTTAGGCAGGCCGGAGACCAATGGGGCACAGACGGCCCTAAGTAGCAGGTTCGTTTATAAGGGAACGATAACGGCTGGTTTTGTATTTAACGGTCGGTCTGTGTAGCCTCCGTACAATTACTACTGCACCGTTACAAAACCTGCCGGTTCGTTCCGATGGTGCCGTACCGCAGCCCCACTAAACTAATAAAAGAAAGGCGTACGGTGCGACTGTCTACGGTATACGGTAGCCCTGCCCAAGCAAGTCGGTGCACCAAGCAAACCGCCACCTACCGTAACTGTACGGTACCGGCAGCGCTACAAAGTAGAAGCGCCAGCGAACCCCGTACCAGCAAAAATAAATTAATTGATTGGATTCACTGAAATGAAATTGTGAGAACCCACTCACATTGCAAGCATCATCGGGTCATGCTTTAACGACTCTTCCTAAAAAGAAATCTTGTTCTTGGTATTTAGGCAGAGGCTCACATTTCTGTTCTCCCAAAATCTCCAAATTCGTGTGTGCAGTTAACTTTCGGAGCGTTGATGTTGGTTCATGGCAACGGACTTAGCACTTTATCAAGTGCGAGTCTCGCCAAGAGCGAAGGTTGCTGTCAGAATGAGAAAGCATAAGGTAAGTTCATCCATCGCATCGAAGCGATTTCCTAATTCACAGGCAAAACGATGCCCACCATGAAGACTTCTGTCGGAGCCATCGTTCTCCTTCTATCAGCATGGTCGCCTGGGGCCCTAGCCGAGAAAACGCTTCAGAGACAGCGCTCTGGTAGGGGAATTGAGGACTATGGTATTCCTGATATCCTCGCTGACGCCAAGATTTCAGGAGAAGAACAGGCGCTATGGCAAAGGATTTTGGAGGACACAGGCATGAGTTTGCCTCCCACAGGTACGCTCGCAGAACACGAAATGATCTGCAGATGAAGCAGAAAGCAGCTTGCGATGTTGGTTATCTCACGTTATCTTTGTCATCTTTACTTCCCTGTCCATCCTATGCACCCCAAAGGCCCTCCCCGTCCAAAGCCAACTACTAGACCAACAAAGGCTCCAACAACGAAAGCACCAGTGCCACGCCCTACGGATCCTCCTGTCACACCAGAAACACCACGTCCGACGCCAAAACCAACAGGTGCTCCCACGCCAATGCCAACAAAGGCTCCGGTGCCCGATCCAACACCCAAGCCCACACCCAAGCCCACACCCATTCCAACGAAGCAGCCAACCCCAGCACCCACCACCCAACCTGTTCCTGATCCAACACCAGATCCGACACCATTCCCAACCAAAAAACCCACCCCTAATCCTACACCCAGGCCTACAAAAGCACCAACTAAATCACCAACTAAAGCACCAGTGCCTGATCCAACCCCAAATCCTACCCCAATTCCTACCAAATCTCCAACACCATTCCCCACAACGCAACCTGTGCCTGCCCCAACCCCAGTTCCGACGCCACTGCCAACTGTTCCCCCAACCAAATCACCAACTAAAGCACCAACACCTGTACCAACTGCACCTCCCACGCCTGCTCCGGTCACACCAGCCCCCGTTACACCAGCCCCCGTTACACCAGCCCCCGTTACACCAGCCCCCGTTACACCGCCCCCGTTACACCGCCCCCGTTACACCGCCCCCGTTACACCTGCCCCCGTAACCCTGCCCCCGACACCTGCCCCCGTAATCCTGCTCCGTAACTCCTGCTCCCGTCACACCTGCCCCTGTCACGCCTGCCCCGGTCCCTGTCACACCTGCCCGGTCCCTGCCACACCTGCCCCTGTCCCTGCCACACCTGCCCCAGTCCCTGCCACACCTGCTCCGGTCCCTGCCACACCTGCCCCTGTCCCTGCCACACCTGCCCCGGTCCCTGTCACACCTGCCCCGGTCCCTGCCACACCGGCTCCGGTCCCTGCAACACCCGCCCCGGTCCCTGCCACACCGGCTCCGGTCCCTGCCACACCTGCCCCGGTCCCTGCCACACCGCTCCGGTCCCTGCCACACCTGCCCCGGCCCTGCCACACCGCCCCGGTCCCTGTCACACCTGCTCCGGTCCCTGCCACAGCTCCCCCAGGAAATGATGTTAGAGCTATTGTTCAACCTGTTGCACTTCAAGGAGGTGCTGAATGGGAAAACCCTGAAAACTACCAGGCAAAAGCTATCACATGGCTTGAAACTGATGCCTTCTCAGCAACTCTATCGGATGCCCGGATTCAACAAAGGTATGCTCTGGCCTGCATCTACTATGCTACCTATGCAGTTAGAACAGTCTATACTGTAGTGGAACCGCGGGGATGGATTGATTCAACTGGCTGGATCACTGATGTGGATGAGTGCACTTGGTTTGGGCTCACATGTAATGCCAACTCGGAGGTTGAAAAGATTGTGTTGGTAAGTCTTCTCATGCAGAGGTTTGTTGTTGATGTATCATGAAAGATGCCACACATTGATTTCTCACTACTCGGCAACCAAATTGACAGGCTTCCAATCGCATCACAGGAACATTCCCTGCAGAGACCACAATCATGGCATCATCCATCAATCGCATTGACCTGTTTAGGAATTCTGTCTACAACAGTGGGGATGAGGGTAATGCATGGCTAGGGCAGCTTACAAACCTGAGAGAACTTTTCTATGGGCAGACAAACTTTGAGTACAATGGAGTTCCTCCTCAGATTGCTCAGCTGACCAACCTAGTGGAATTTGATTGTTCCTTCACGCTATACTTTGGTCCCCTTCTTGGCTCCACTTTTGCACCACTTCAAAGCCTTGGTAAGATCTCATGGCAGATGAGCTTCCAGTTCTGACTGTACCTCAACGTAGCTGACGTGCCTTGTTTTGTGGCTTCTTGCAGAATACCTTGTGCTGAGTGGAAATGCTTATAACACTTCCATCCCTGTTGAAATTGGCAATCTTCCAAATCTTCGTAAGTTGCCTTTGATACTATCAAACTTCCCTGGATATTCTCCAAACCAGCTCTCTTACATCGCTTGGTGCTTTTCCATTGCAGAGTTCCTTTACGTGCAGAATGCATTTGTAGATGGTGACTTGTCATTCATGGAACCAATGCAATCGATTGGTAAGCACAGTTCCCAAACTGGGACTTTTAACGCTTGTTAACATTTTTTGAGAGAGATTGTACTAACAATTGGTTCCTTGGTACTTGCAACTGCAGTGGAATGCTGGGTTGACCAGAATCCAGGCTTGGGCGGGACTATTCCAACAACCATGGGCAATGTTCAATCACTCCGTAAGTCAGAGTAATATTCTTGTTTCTTTGATTGGTTGCCTGGATGTTTCTTCTTCTGCTCATGACTCTCCTTGCTGCACAGAGAGTTGGTCAATAACCAGGTGTGGATTCAATGGCCCTATCCCTTCAGAGCTAGGAAATCTGAGGAACATGGGTAAGTCATGTGACGTCCATGCAAGTGTTATGGATGATTCTTGCTGTCTCAACAGCTGACACTTCCTTTGTTTGGCAATTGTGAAGTGCGAATGTGGCTTTATGATAACATGTTTACAGGAACTGTTCCAATTGAACTGGGAAATTTGTTCAAGCTGCAGACTTTGGAGCTGGAAGAGAACCTTCTTACTGGAGTGATGCCGGAAGACATATGTCTGAACCGAAATCCACTTGGTTTGCTTCAAGTGTTGGAGGCTGACTGTGGTGGAGCCGTTCCAGAAATTCAATGTGATTGTTGCACGTGCTGTGAAAATTGCCTCCCAGCACTTGGAAGACTTCAATCGATGAGCCGAATGAACGTACCGGAGTCACTATTGGACTATGAAATGGCCACTGAACCATAGTGCGGGGTGCACCACCGGTGAGCCCAACTGACTTCCCGTTTGGTTCGGTTCGGTCCTTAGTGTTCTTGGGCGCTTGGCATGCTGCTGCTGCCTACATGCATGCAATCTTCTGCGAACGAGCATTCATCAGACCTGACATCAACATCAAGCACACATATCTATTGCATATTGAAAACGAAAGACACATAGGCTAGTGGCCATATTAACTTAGACCCCAGTGTGTTATGATCTAATATATGGAGTTCTGTATGTTGGGGGTGGCGCGTTCGTTCGTCTGTGTATGAGGGGATGCAATCCCGTACCTGTATAATCTCGTGGTGGAACAAGAGGAAACCGGTTTATGCACCTGTAGAGCTGGTAGAGACAGAAAATGGCCAAGAGTAACTTGGACCTCTGGCTAGCTACTGTAGGGCTTATGATCTTCTATCTCGTCTGTGTATGTGGCCCACCAGGGTGAACGAGTCCATGCATTCACTCGCTGTCTGTCCTCAATCAATTGATCCTTCCGGTTGTGGGGTAGTGGCATTGTCTCTGACTGCTTCGGCTTGCTCGCGCAGCGACGAAAGCAGGCCGTAATTAGGCACCAATTGCTTGTGCAGAAGAATAGACCCTGTCAGAGGCGACTTGTCACTCGTCTGAAGCCACCTCTCAATAGCAGCGCGCTCGTAAGTGTGCCCATCACCCTGTGAGTGGCAGCGGCAGAGAGGAGAGTCAGTTTCCAATCGATAATGGGTTTTTTCGTTTTTGCATCACCACTTTCATACAACTAGCCCGAGAACTTACCGCTACTACAGGATCAATCATGGGTTCACCAGTAATTGGGCAACATGGCATATTTGGAAGCGCAGCTTTGTCATGACTATTTGCACTCGGAGTCGGTGCATATGCTGCTGTGGCTCCTGTCTCTGGCGAAAAGGTGTTCTCGGCCGGGGAAGTATTGCCCGCGGTTTCGTTTGCAGTGTCGTTGTTGTTCGACAGTTCCAGGTTGGCCATGCTGCCTTCCCCGCCAGGATTGAACCGTCCATCCCAGTTGGTCGCAAAGGCCACATCTTCGACCGCCGTGTCAAGTCCGTGTTCTAGCCACCTGTTGATTAGGTGTGCTCCTCCTTGGATTGTGCTGGCCCCAATTGTAAGCAGACCCTCTTCTGGAAGTTTCTCCACTGCTTGTTGGACCGTCCCAACCAATGGCGAATGTGCCAATCGTTCTGTAATCGATTGCCATTCTTCTTTGCAGACCTCTACCGCGCCGTGCTTTCGATCAACGCAAATCACCATGTTTTTGTGGCACAGGAACGAGCAGATCCAACCTTCTTGGCTGGTATACCCCAGGAGTATTCGATCCTCATCCACTACTCCCTGTACTGTGTATGTCTGTCCTGGCACCAAAGGGAACAGATCTGCGGGATGGCAAAAGCGTGTAAACTGGACCTTATCACCAACACTAGGTGAAACGTCAGTTGGCTCGTACTCCACATTGACGCGTATTGACCCAGATGCAGCTGAAAGAGGCAACCAAGAGTCGAGTATTGGCTTTTTCCCAGTAAGGAGTGGGGTGAGATCAACAGAAGCCACACCCAAAAACTCGTCATCCGAATCCCCCGACATGGCATTGCCTTTGGAAGGGTTATATTTTTTGTTGTTTCCTCTCTCATCTGCTGAGAATAGCGCAACCGTCAAAATTGGACGTGGAATGTCGAGCGAAGCACAGCCATCAGCGAGGTTTTTTGGTGGTTGTATTGGAGGTGTTTCGTCGATTGGTGGTTCCGCATCTTTTGTGTTGTCCGCTGTTGGGGGTTTCGTACATGTAGCTTTGGCATGAGGGTGTGTCACATTGGAAAGAGGCAGCGCCACATCCATGAACATGGTTTCTCCTCGTGGCCAAACAGGATCCAGAGTGTCATGTAGGTTGGACGTTCGCTGAGTGCTGCAGCCAAAATTGACCGATGCATAAGGATTGGCGGAACCTTTCCCTCCTCCAAACAAGAAATCCCCCAGGCCACCACCATTCGATGCTGCTGGCAAGTCTCGAGCAGCCACAACCCGGACTATCAAAGTTCCCAGAATGTAGAGGGGATCGTGTTCCAGGAATGGATCTTCATCGTTGTCCAGAGACTTGCCCTTCTTCGTACTCTTCTTCAAAGATGTCGGCTTCTCGGGCTCCGTAAAAAGATTGTCATAAAAGTCGGCATCGTCGAGATTTCCCTTTCCTCCAGCACCAGAAGCACTCTTCTGCATTGTTGCAGTACGATATGCAACGGTTGCAAAGTGGTTGATCTCTTGATTGTTGGTCAAGACCCAATGAAGGCAGAAGGTAGACGGCTTTTGACGGCTCTGTCGCCATTTTTGGGACAAGCGAGAGACCAACTGGTCGCCTCGAATCTTGGTTCTTTCCAGGAGGAGAAAAAAAAGAGGGGAGGAGGGTTTGAAAGATCCGATGACCTTTCCCGTCGCATCATCATCAGGTACTATATCCTCCATGGAGTACCACTAACAACTCTAGTCCCAGACGACGTTCTTTATGAGTCATTTCTAAGGTTAAAGCCTACACTCAGTTTGACAGACCCATTCCAACGTCAAATTTCTAAGTCGTTCCGTGAAAAAAGTTACTTAGAGCACGGATTATTCGTACCCCAACCTTAGATTTCACCCCCCAACCCTAACTTGGTTTCGCACCACCGGAAGTTGCTCCAGCGTGGAGTATCTCCACAAAACCAATGCTATCCATCAAGCCAAATCAAGATGACGAAGAGTGTAAAGACGAAACCAAAACAGCTTGGGGAATCGCAATGGCGCTTTGTACAGAAGACACGCTCAGGGATTGACAATGATCCCAGGAGGTTCTTCAAAGCACATAATTGGAGATTAATAAGCCCCACCACCGGCGGACGATTCGACAGCTCCATCCTCGATCAAAAGGCGAAGAAAACCACCGTCGATCATTTCTACATTAAACCAGTGGCGGCTTGGGTACCCCATCAACTTGTGCCTAACCATGTGCCATGCTGCCCCCACTGCAAGGTTCGAGATCACGTAGACACTGTGAAAGCGCGATGGGTGAATTGCCCCAAGGTTCTTTTTGGCACCTCCCGAATCCGCTACTTGGATACAGTGTTATACCCATGCATGAAGTGCGGCAGGAGATTTGCGGGGTATAACAAGAAGTCAATGCAGCTGGATTCTTCACTGTACTATGGGTTCTTCACTTTCTATTTGGGGCATGGATTTGCGGTAGATGAGGATCTCCACCGTCTAATCATTGAGAGTGCCAACAAGGAAGCCACTGCCACGATATTCAAGAAGCTCAGGAGGATGGCGTATGATGCGTATTACGAAGACCACCAGCTCTATTTGACAGCTCTTGGTCTAGACAAAATCCGCCCCAAGAAGAAACAGAAGACAATAGAGGATCATGTTACCAAACATCATGATTCGAATTTACAGAGACTGTTGAATAGGAGAAATCAGACATCTACAGATTTAAGGAAGGCCCGTCTATCCTACGAAGCTGCCAAGAGCAAAGCCAACGCTGATTACTCCTTCAAGCATATGCTGTCGGCAAAGGACAACCACAATGTGCATGGCCAAAGAAACTTTCTTCCCGGTTTGGGTAGTACTAAAATCCGCCGGTTAATTTCAAGTGGCATTGACTCCACCCATGAACTAATGGCGGTGAACCCTCGAGACTACCCACAGCTGAAGCCTCTGAAAAACTGGAAGCTCCTTGTTTTGAATTATTACGAGAACCTGAGGGCTGATGCAACCGCCAAGGATTCTGCTGTGGACTCAGCCATTAACCGGTACAATGAGGCCACCGATGAATTGTTGCAGTACCAAGAGGAACAGGGCGATGAACAAGAACCTGAAGACCCAGCAGGGGAAGCCCAAGATGTTCTTGTTCCCTTTTCCAAATTTGGCGACAAGCACAAGTACAACGGTCGTGTCATTTCCAAGTACCGAATTGATAGTCTGGTGTCTTCAGTCTTCAACCATCGAAAATGCTTCCAGGAAGAGAAGATGCGTGGCTTAACAGCGGAGTTACTGAAGGTCGACTTCAATTATAAGTTGGCCAAGAAGATTCGGGTGTGGACGAAACAAGGGCAAAGCTTTGGGCCGTATCAGTGTATTGTCACGGTACAAAATGAGGATGGGCTCACTGTCTTCTGGAAGGCACTCAAACACTCTGAATCATTTTCAGAAATTGAGACTGACTTGATACGACTTCGAGATCGATTGAATCGCAACAGAGTGGCGGCACAAAGAGCCAATGTGGCCGCTCAACCAGAACAGCAACATGACGACATTGATGAGAGTGCTCAAGCCGTTAAGGTCGTTTATGTTGACAACTGTTGCAATGTGAGGAATATATTGCTGCGAATATTCCCCTCAACACTTGTTCTGTTGGATCCCTTTCACTGGCTGAAGCGATGGAATGACTTAATGGTTGATTCGTCTTCTGCTCAAGCTGGTATTTGCAGAGGCCTCATGAGCAGAGCTTTGTTCAATGTTCAACCCGGTGAATATGAGCGGGCAAAGGAGAAGTTGGAGAGAAAGCTGAAACGGGATCCCACTGTTCGCGAAATCCTGAAAGAGTCTAACTCTGTTATTCCCCCACCTGATGTTCTCCGCAAGAACATAGAGGCTGTTCTGCAGTATCTACAGACAAAAGACAGTGAAACAATGCAGTCACTTGCAACAAGACAAGAGAGCGACACTTCCCCAAGGCCGAAGTTGTTTATGAAGAGCTGGAAATTCCAAGAGGTGGTTCGTAAACAGTTGCACCATGTTGATACCGGTTGCCTCAGCGATCCGCCATCTTCACTTGTCAATCTCTTCAGAAGGAACACTGTGACAGATGTCACTTATGTGGCAAGAGGAACCAACACCAATGAACGTGACAACCTCGATTTGGCCACTGACATCCTGTCGGCAACTCACATTGGTAAGGCCTTCGCTTCAACTTGATGCATATTGTGTGATCCCGCTTGCTCATTTTTCCTTTTGTTTTCAAGGTATCCAAAGGGGCGAACGGCTTATGTGTTGTTTCTTTGAAGAAAAGAACGATAGAAAAGCGGTAATCCGACTTGGCGCTACTGACTATGGCACTGTACATACTGAGAAGTTGCTTCTACTGAACAGTTATGCTGCCAGGGTTGGATTTAAGGAAAGCCAGCTTCCATACAAGGTTCCATCGCCCTCAAAGGCTACCAATGACACTAGCGAGTACATGGGTTTCAACTATGAGCCAGTGGAATTGGCGGAAGTGTCCAATCCTACAGACAATACAGTGACCGACTACGATGGAGAGGATCTCACTGAAGAGCAGATAGTGGAGGCCGACGATGACGAAGAGATAGTGCCACAGGAGCAACGTGATTTAGAGAAGGTTTTGGGCGATGTGTTAGGTGACGATTTGGATATTGAGGTTTTCGGTACTGAAGAAGAGTACTTGTCTGCTACTGCTGCCGACAATCGCCGAATTGAGGAGAATGCTCGCTTAATCAGATCTGGTGAGGCAGCCGACAACAGTGATAGGATCAACAGGAAAGCAATCGAGCAGGAAATCAACCGTCTGCTACCTTCTAACCATGGCAGAGAGTCCACCCTTGAAACCTTCCGACGACTTACAAGCAAATGTGAGTGGATTCCTTTTCGCTCCCCTGACAGCTCCACAGCAGCAAGCGAAATAGACAAGGCAGAGGCTGATCTCTACAGCGAATGGGTAGAGAGGTATGATCGTGGTGTATCTGCTGGCGCAAGATCTTTCAAGGCATTCGAGAGAGATTGGAATGCAGAAGTCACAAGGCGCTTTAAGTTGTGGAGCAGTGAAGGTGATGATAATGGAATTGTCCAAATAAGGTACAAGAGTCGGCTGCTTTTACAGCGGCACTATGACAAAGTGCAAGAGTTGGCGAGCTTACAAGCCAGAGCTCCAGTTGTTGACGACGCTGCTCGACAAAGACTGGATCAACAACTGCGAGATTCGCGACGTTCAATTGCCCCTCCACCAGAGGCCCATGACACTCACCCACCAAGATATCTCAATACCGGATTGACACCTTTGGGCAATCCAACCACTCTGAATGCTGAGGTTGTCGCTGGTGGTGTTCGTGCCGGAAATGCTGACAGCACCCCTTATCGTGTGCTGATAACAACCATACCCGGCGTTGCACCACCACGGCCAACACGGCAGAGATTCAAAAGCAGGAAATATTGCCGCAAGTGTGGATTCCTCAAGAAAGACCATGCTATTGTTCATGAGGGAGTAGCGGCAACATGTACAAGGGACTATTGTGGTAGATGCCGGCAACTAGACAAGTTCCACAACAATGGTTTTGGGCAGTTCTGTGACAAAGCGATCCACCCAATGCAAGCCTCTACTGTGGCTGAGTGGTATGAGACTGTGGTAAGTGGCTCACTACTATTGTTACTATTTCACTACTTGGATAACAAATACCAACACTTTCTTTTCCTCTTTCAATTTCCAGCACTAGTAACCGGCTCAGGTCCATCTCCAAACATCCAAGGCTGTTCATGAGTTTCGAGGACTCCATTCATATGGATGTGGTTGATGCAGCCCTCCACATACTCATCAGACATACAGGCAAGCTGCTTGAAAGTCCAGGAGGTCCCATCATTGTAGTTCCTGTCAAAGAAGTCATTCCAAGCCTCACAGATCATCTTCTGTTCACTAGAGCACCTACCAAAGGCAGTGACACACATCTCTTTCACCAGCCACCAGATACACTCCTTGTACATGTTCTTTTCCTCAACTGCATGAGGGAAGCTCACAATGTCATTGCAGGTGCCAATGACATTCTGGTACCAGTCAACACTCCTCTCAATTCCCCAAAAATGCATGGTGTCCATGATGGCATCCATCTTGGGAGTCACAACTTTGGCCCTTCCACTAATGATGAGTTGTTCAAGGATGGGTCCCTCAAAGCAAGTTATGGGCACACAATACACAGGCAAATAGTCAAGGCGCTCCTGGTGACTCTCCTCCAACAATACATACTTAAGCTGAATGCTGTTTCGGGTAGCCTTCAGTTCATTGAAAGGGTAGTAAGGCACAGTAAACAGGAAGTTTGAAAAAGCTGCACTAGTGTTGAACCTCATAGTAATGTAGTTGTAGTTGTTCTTTTTAAAGACTTGACGACTTTCAATGACTCGACGGAGATCCGAATTGTGAGCTCTTGACTTTGCCTTCCGAAGAGGTACCGCGCACCAATGCCGCGGACTTAAGTAGCCTCCTCAACGGCATTTGATTCTTGTAACGCATAACTCCCTAATTTTTGAATCACTATGTAGAATTGTACTGACGCTCAACTTACTTAGGCAAACTGGTGTCATATAAAAATTTCTGTACTATTATACAAGACCTGTACTCTCGCAGACCGACCAACCAACTCCAGCAGATCCGTGTGATTGCGCTTCGTGACGTCGTCGTTTTCTCCTTTCTTTGTGTGTCAGTATTTGCTCTAAATACCGTCTGGGTCAAAAACAGCATTAGAAGACACCCAGCTACGTTCCCGCCTGTAGCGTGCCGTACCAGTACCAGTAGCTGCAGCAACAACAACTCCAGTTCCAACCAACCAGGGCTTCACAAAGCATGCTACTATTAGCCTGGACGAACTCGATAATCCAAAACCTTTTACTATTTTATTTTAAAAGGCCGTCCCCCTTGCCCATCTCAAAGGTTCCGCTCCTGGTCACACTTCCGGGCTAGTTGCAGGCCAAACTGTAGGCACACACTTGTACCATCGCCTGGGCCTGTGAAAAGGAGGGTGGCTGATAGCTCGTTCAGTTCCATCACCTCTGTTTGCGTGTTTCCCCTGTCCCTGCTGGCAAGATGAGCTTCCACTGCTCCATCTAGGATGCTGATGGTACACTTGCACTACTATTTCCACCAATTTGATCGTCCTACCCCATTTCCCGACCTGACTCCTTCTGCCCCCTACGTGTATTTCTCCCGAAGCCTTAACGCCCCCTCAAACTACAGGTGGCCCACCATGCCCCATTCGCTCCTTAAGCATTTATCTACATGTAGTTCTTATTTCCGCAGCTTGTGTAGACCTTAGTTTGGTGCTTAGTTACGGAGTCATGGCGGTTTGACTTTGTCAGGGTTTCAAGGGGCATCAATGCATCAAACTGGTTCAAAAAAGGAAGGATGCACAAGAAACTGCACTACTTGTTTGATGATTCCGTCGTTTGTGTCCTCCGCAAAAGTTCGTCAAAATCAATGTAGGGTTCATAATGTTCAATGGCCACGCCAACTCTGTTTGTGTCGTCAATATTCAGCTTTGGGGTAAATTTTGATATCATCGATGTGGCCTCATGTGTCGTTTTCTCCACCACCATGACAGGAGCCCCCTCCAGTCCACTGAGAAGGTCCGAGATTTCGTTGGATAGTTGATACTTTCCTTGTCGACCGCAGATCAACAGAGCCGCCTCGAATGAGTCGTCACTGTTCGCTTTTCGTCTTTGGTGCTCCCCCATGAAACCCACTGGAAAAGGGAAGACAATGGAGAGGGAGAAAATCAATGAGCCCAAGGACTAATCATCACAGGGCTGAAAGCCACTTCAAAATCCGTACCAATGAGGTCATCTCGTGTGACGTGGCAAAGGTACAATGTTCGCTGTGGTTTTTCTCTCAAGTTTTCAAGGAATCTGAACACAGAAACCAAAATGGTTAGACCTGCAGAGAAGGGGGAAATCCCGTCGAGCTCTGCCCGCAGATTGAAACTTGCCGTGTCAGATTGGTGGTGACAACATTGATGTCGTCAACACTGTAGTGGCGGAACCGGTGCTCTTCCCCACAAACAAGGGTTGCCTTAAAGAGCCGTTCCAAATCTGCCAGAGCAGGACAACCTAGGAAGGGCTGATCCGGAACACATCCAAGAAGTGGAATATCCCAAGTTTTCATCATTGCTTTTGACATGTATTCCTTGGTCTGGTCATACTTCTCAGGGATGACTTTGTTTATGACAACACCAGCAATGTTCACCCCATATTGATGGCAAAGCACCCTGTTCAGCTCCAGTTCATCGTATGCGCTGCCTGTGGCAAAAAGACGCCACAACAGCCAATGAGATCACAACAATATGTCAGTCGGCAGAATCCCAGAGAATACTGCTGCCTGCTTGAGTTTGAAAAACTTACCCAATCCTCCATTGGCAATCAGGAGCTGTAAAAGTGCATAAATAAGGGGCTTCAAAATGCAGCAAAACAAGAATATGATGACGATTGTGAGCGGCTTACCATATCCGCACCGAGGATGCTAGCAACCTTTGCGTTGTTGAGACCGACAATGCTTCCCACAGCACAGTGTCCAGTACCCTCACAGACAGTTACGTCGCTGGCTGTTGCTACATTTTTCATTGCTGATTCAAGATCACTCAGTTGCGACTCGAATGCAATTTTGCCATCAACGAAATCTTTGGTGTATCCCTTGGGTATCAATACAGGACTCATGTCTTCATAGTCCAGATGATCCAAGTTGAAACGCTCCTTGATTAGTTCCACATCTTTATCAACTCTGATTTCCTTCCCGGGGGAGTTCTTTGATTCCACTCGAACATGCTGCTGGCCAACAGGTTTGATGAAACCTAATACAGTATTGCAATGATCACAGAACGACGAGGTCGATGTCAGGCCAGAATGTTCGAATGTTCCGTACTCTGTTTGCGCTGGTATAATCACAAAACATACCTATCTTATCGAAGCGTTTTTGAAGGCCTGAAAGTACTGCTAGAGAGACAGTTGTTTTCCCAACATGCTGGCGGGTAGCAGCAATATAGATGGGTCGTTGATAGCGTCCGGTCTTCGAATGCTTCTTCCAATATGGGTTAGAATTATCTTGGTCGTTCTTATTGTCGAGATCTTTCGGACTTTCCACAGTCGAAAACGCCTTCTCTCCGTTCGTAGGGCGCGGAAGACTAGTGGCAACAGCTCTCCATGAGTAAAGACTCTTTACTGGTGCTTTGTTCATCTTTTAAACCAGATCTTGCCGATGCCTGTAGTTGCAGCTGCTATTTTGAGAAGTTCGTTGTGGGTGTGTGTTGGTGATGGTGTTGGTGTGTGGTGTGGGGTTTTTGATGGGATGGCCCGTTCGAAAGATTTGGATCCCGAATGCCACCACAAGACCTGCGAACACACGGTGGTACGGTACCGTACATGGTTACTAGTACTGTATGGCACGGTAGGTACGGTGACCGTACCGTATGTCTGTACGGTAAAGTAACCGGTACGCTACTAGTAGTACTGGGAGGAGAAACTTGCTCTCTGCACAACGGTAGCTAACTATGGTACCCACTGTACTAGCTGGTACCGGTAGCCAGTGTCGGGAGCCCAAAAGGTTTGGTGGTCAACAATTCTTTATGTGGTGCTTATAGCTACAGGCAATTGCAAGGGTAGCAACGAACATCTCTCCTGGCAAAAACACAGTTGTATTCGTTTCCCGAGGTTGATTGTTGCTGCACCGGTACCCTGAGGCCGTTTCCTACCGTACTGTAGAACTATTTTAAAATAGCTGGCTAGACAACATCAATCTCCTGCTATGCATCCCGGGAGCCTAGCTAGTAGTAGCTAGCTAGTACCAGTGCTAGCTGCCCTACTAGACATCACTTCCTTTTGGTTGAGGGGTTCATCTGGTCACGCGGCGACCGCTGGCTTCGATCGGATAGAAAACCAGATTTTCGGCCAGCAGTCCCGTGGGCTTCGCTCTTGCAAAGCACTCTTGCGAGCAGGTTATTTGGCGGTCTCGCGAGAAATTTTGACCACAAAAAAATTCTGAACAACGATCATGTATGTGTCTCCTCAATCAACAGGACCAATGCAGCCCATCACATTGTTACCGGATTTAAAATTAGATGGACATAGCTCTCAACTAGCTAGCTAGTAGCTGATTTCCTACATTTCGTTCCTGTGCTTTGCCCATGGAAGCCAAGGCAGAGGTTGAAATGAAGGGTAATCGCTCCAAACTGGCGTGTCTTTGGCCGAGACCGAGAATCCAGAATGATGCTTCGATTAGTCGAGTTGCTTGGTTGATGCTACTCCTGATTCTGTCGGTCAATACAGTTCATAGCTCAGCTTTTTCGGATCAATCCAAGCCCATGCCACGTTGGCGAGAGCAGCTAGAAAAGCGAACACAACTCCTGGCATCAATCGAAAATACCCCAGACAGAACCACCGTATTGCAATCCTTGTCGCACTCCCTTCCACATTCTGGAGATTCTACTAATTCCCTCAGACAAAACCGACGCCGTCAAAATGAAGCTGGAACGACTCCTCTTGCAAGAGATTCCAGGGCACAAGACGCAAGCCACAACAACCGGAAAACAATGACAGCTCACGCGCAGACCCACACAAGCGACTTTCCTCATCGTGTGCGAATAGCCGCATTTGATTTGTTGATTGCTCCAACGCCCACTAAGCTTCAACGTGTAGACGAAGATCTACTGCTTGTGGCGTTGCAAGAGCTCGCCATAAAGTTCATGAAGATGCAGTTTGGAAACGAGGAAATTGCAGCAAACAGAGTCGGAAAAGACACGACCGTCGAGTACGTCCTGTTTTCCGACATTGAAGGAAACACTTGGAGCGAGGGGCATTCCGGTCCAAACGACCCTCCAAGAACTATCTTGGAATTCAACGGAGGCGTAGCTTCTTTTGTGGGCCCCAATATTCCAAGTGAAGACGAGGTCAACGAATGGGTAGAGGTATGTTGCAGCAGGGAATTGTTTCGAACAACTTGTGCTTTCGCGTTGCTCAAAAAATCCTCTCGTCTATGCTAATATCTGAGAAGACTGCTGTCAACGGCCTCTTTGTTTCCACCTTGACAGAAACACCGTACAGCTACGTAGAGCTTACCCAATACATGTCGGAGTCTCTAACCAACGAGGCTTTGCAGCCAGCCGATATTGTGGTGAATGTCGCCGAAACGGATGCCCCAAAGCCGATCCAGCAACCAGTCCAGGAGCCAATTTTGCAAAGCACCACTCCCTTAGACGGGGAGCCCGGGACAGCTCTGTTCAACATCCTTGTTTCCCTTCTTGTGGGGTTTGTGGTCATCGCTTTACTCTTGGTATTATGGATCCGGTGGAACAATCGAGCAGTACGAATATTGTGTCTCAGTGGCAAGGACAACGAGGAGGTCGTTGACTTTACTGATGATGACCAAATCTCCATTGCTCACAACGAAACCGCAGCCCCGCGTACGAACCCGGAAAAGTGCACCGACAACAACGATGACAACGCCGATACAGATGATACTGGGCCCGCTGAAGGTCACAAGAAAATTTCGTTTGCTAAACTGAACAACAGCGACGAGCATTCTTCAACTAGTTCAATTTCTGAATTGACCATTCCCGCGGTGTCTGCGCTGTCATTTCAAACGCCAAATCCTTTCACGAAGAACATGGCGTCGCGTGAAAGCTTTCAAAAAGAAAGGGAGAAGAACTATCTATCAAAAGATATGCTGTACTCCTCATGGGCAGGGAAAGCTCCAACGATCCCTTCCACACGTAAGCGAGACCACCGAGACCACAGCGTGTTACAAAGTTCTTACTTTTCTGCCAAGAAAGAACGTGAGGCAATGGCATGGATGACCAACACGACCTCGAGTTTCGAACGGCGATCAGCGCCCGGTGGAGGAAGCGAGGAAGTTGAGGAATTCCAATTTGAAGCAGCAAACGAAAAGGACGATAACGACGGCCAACCGGACGGGCTGTACACAATCACAGACAAGATTCGAAGATCTAGGCAGGTGCTAGCAAATCAAGGATCAGGATCAAGGGGAAGGGAGTCGTCTGACTTTGTGTAGTGCCCAATGTTCTCGAGCCTGGATGATGGTACCGCAGTAGGTTGCGTCCCTCGACTCGACTGTCGAAAGAGACAATTGCCGATTCACCCAAATGAGGGGGTGGGGATGGGGGTCGGCCGTAGTCGAAAAGTTGCTTCCTGAAACAGTCTCAAGACGGTTCTTCAGCTCAGTTGCCAAATCTCGTTCCCGCTTTGAATCGAGCTTGGACGATGCAACGTCTTCGCTCATAAAAGTCCTTCCTATCTTTTCATTACCAATTCTCCCAAGACAGCTTCTTATTCGGTACTCCGTGCAGTATGGTTACCAACTTTTGGCGGCCACAAATTGGTGCTGGTGAAGCGTCCGATTGGAGCGGTCAGGCCAGAAGTTGACTCTACTCAGCAAATAAATGCGACAAAATCTTGAAACTGTATGATTATAAGATTTTAGCTGAATGCCTACGGTACTACATGTAGATAACCAGTCTACGAGCTACTTTTGGCACTTTTTACAAAGCGAATTTGTCTTTGATTGTCAATCTGTGCCACGATGCCGTTGACGGGCGCCTCTGAAACGCGAAGAATCCAGCGTGGAAAAGGACGGGACGGTGCTCATTGTGTTCTCGCCTATAGCTGGTCCCTGCACAGAGTTGTGAAAATAAGGTGAAAGATCATATATGGCTTGTAGACCACTGGCCGCGGCTTCGTCGGTGATTGTTCCGAATTGGCCGACAGCGCTTTGAAGTGTGGACATGCTGTCGTAAGCCCGGCGCATTCGCGCCGTCGCTTCACCAGGTTGGTTATCACTGCGGTTGGCAGCAGTGTGGGAAGTGAGCTGTCCAGGAATCACAACTTCGCCATCGAGGAAGAACAAGCATGACTCTGACCCGTCATCGTCTGTCCGAAAGATTGCTTGTGAGCTTGATCGCGACATTCGCCCCTGACTGTATGTGTAGTGGAGTTGACCTTGTTGATGATGTTGGGGTACCATTGTGACTCGCAGAACGTGTTCAGGAGATCGGTTCGGAGACTCTGCACCTCCTGAGGAATGATGGCTGCGCGGATACGTCGTCGTTGCCGGCGACAACGACAAAGCTGATTCTTGTCGGGCTGCGTCCAATGTGTATTGTTGTTCTACATTGTTGGCATCGTTTCCGCGATTACCATCGAGGTTTTCCCTGGTCCCCGCTACGGCTGGTACTTCGTACCTGTTCCAAAAGAATGTGAAGGACTCCATCATGAAACAGATAATCATGAACATGGCCAAGTTCGAAAAAGCAAATGGGAAGCTGAAAATGTACGAGTGCACAAGGAAGAAGAGGAGGAAGAAAGCCCTTGGAAAGAAGAAGATTCCTTGAGCAGTCCTGACACTGTAATTGAAAGGTCCGCAACGTTAGTTGGACCACCACAGAAGGGAAAGGAAAGTAATGCAGTACACACCATACCACCAATGTACTCACCTGACAAATGAAAACAGTTCGCCAACAAAGACAATCCCAAGCACCGACAAAGCGATGACCCAGTCACCTTGGTAGAACTCTCGTAGATAGAATAGAACCCCTACAGTGATTGGCACAAACACAAACGCATCCGCCACGTGTGTGACAAAGAGGGGGATGATCGATCTGTTTTCCTCTTGATGACTGCGTATTTGCAAAGCTAGCTCTAGCAAGCTTTCTTGAGCCACTCGAAGGAGAAATGAGACCAGGTTGGTGCTGATAAAGTATATGAGACATGTCTTGATGACTGTTCTAACCTTGGACGCCCATGGCCGGATCCAAGGTACCAATCCAAACAAGGCTCCAAAGTCCCCGGTGGGTCTTGCCCTAGTGTTTCGCACGTTGAGAATGTTTAATTTTCCCAAGTCCACCGTCTCTTCCGTCCGTGGATTGTGGACATACCCAGTACCATTGCTAATGGCGAGTAGCCAGTTCATCATGACCAGATCGTGTCCGAGTACGTGGAAGATTGCGGTTTGCAGGAACGGCTCTCCAAAACAGCGTACATCAGTCTTGGAGACGGCCACAATCTGTGTGGAGATGCCATGCGCTCTAAGAGGTTCTGAGAGGTCTGGAGAAAGGAGAGCATATCCCTTCGTTTTGGCGTATGTGAATTGTACCCTGCCGGCAAAGTTGGAGGAGTATTGCATCATTTTGGCAACACGACAGGATGGCTGATTTTGATCCTTTTCCAATGCGAGGCATTCTTGGGTACCCAGTTCCCAAGCGATGCTTTCTTGTGGTTCGTCATCTTCTAGCAGGATTAGATGTGTAATGTCGGAAGTGCTTCGAAAGCCATCGATACTGGATAGACAGGATGCGGGTATATTTCGAAGTGGATTGTGATGGCTGACATTGCGGAATGCAGCAACTGGTGCTGGATTGCCTCGGTACACAAAAGCCAGATGCAGACAAATCAGAGCGGCAAAGCCACTGACGGCCAGAATCATCCAAAAGATCTCCAGAAGGGATCGCACATTGCGGTTGGTATACTTCAAATAGAGTAGACTCGCTCGGTAGTGCAGATTATTTAATATCAAGTCGGCATTCCTCTCATTGTTGGTTGCTCCTGCCGTTTCTACCATCTTGATGCAAGCACATGGGTGTTTCTTTTTATGCTTATTAGTCAAAGGAGGGAAGACAACATAGACCGGATGCAGGACATCAACATCACAAGCGACTACTAGTACGGTGCCGAACCGTGGCTGGTAGCTGCGACACTTCTGGCGCAGTCCTTCCTATCGCGTTGGCTTCAACTCTGTTGCATGAAAAAGTGTGCGTCAGATTGATTGAGGCCAGCGTCAAACGTACTGTTTAAGTCAATTATCTGGCTTATTTCTAGCGCATGGCATCACGGTTTGGTGAAGACCTGCAGACTTTTAGACCGTTCAGCTCAGAGGCCAATTCTGAAGCTGCTTTTTCATCTTCCGTAAAGTGGTGCTCTCTGCTGCTGTTGTTGTTGTTGTTATCATCGTCTCGAAGTCAAAACCAAGGGCAAGATGGCAGATGTACCGCCAACGCGTATGAACCAGCAGATCTTCAAGGGCAAGAAGAAGGCTGCAGAAGGTGGACACAAATTGCTCAAGAAAAAGGCAGATGCGTTGAAGGTGGGTTTTAAAAGATATCGCCATCACTGTGGATCCATCCTTCTCTCCTTGCCAGGCGTTGAGTGTGATCCATGGTGGTTCTACTAGCAAGTGTTAGTTTTGACTTGTTGTCTCTGGCAAACTAAACTTTATCCCCTGCTTTTGCCGCAATCATAGGTCAAATTTCGGGACTATGCCAAGGCGATTGCCGAAACCAAGTCCTCCATGACAGGAGACTCATCCAATGCATTCTTCTCTATGACGCAAGCTGAATATGCGGCTGGAAACTTCAAACAGAAGGTGGCCGAAGGATCCATGACAGCCAGAGTCAGAGTTGGAGCTGGCGTGGACAATGTGGCTGGTGTCAAACTCCCTGTCTTTACCAAGTATGATACTGGCGCTGCAGCCGACAATCAGAGTCTTGGGCTTGTTGGAGGAGGAAAGAAGATCCAAAATGTCCGTGAAAAGTTCACCGATCTTTTGGAAATGCTTATCAAGTACGTGGTTACCATGGCTTGTCAGTGATTGGGGGGTGGGCTGTGTTTAACTCAGCTGACATCATTTGTTTCGTTCCCTCCCAGGTTGGCATCTCTTCAAACAAGTTTTCAGACACTTGACGAAGCGTTGAAGGGTAAGTGGGTTTTGCTTGCCAACTACTGTGTTTGTGTTTGTCGACTCTAATCTCACCTCTTTTTGTGTTTGATATTCAGTGACAAACCGTCGTGTCAACGCCTTGGAGAATGTGACTATTCCCAAGATCGAAGGAATCCTGGGCTACATTGCTCGTGAACTTGACGAACTCGAGCGTGAAGGTACGTTCAGCTCTGTGCGAAAAAGTCATGTGAGATACTCCTGAAACTTAATCAAATTGAATGGTTTTTGGTTTCCCTCTGGCCGTGGCCATGCAGATTTCACACGCCTCAAGCTCGTGCAAGGCAAGAAGGAAATCGAAATCAAGCGAGAAGCAGCACAAAAGGCAAAGGAAGCAGCCAAGATCATGGTCTCTGGACAAGCCAGGCCCAAGTCTAACGATGCAGATATTACTGCCGCATTTGATGCGAACGACGACGAAGATGTTGTCTTTTAAGGGTTAGCACCTGCTTGGCAGTGCCTCAAGCACTGGTATCTAAGCACACCCTATAGCGCGCAGCTTTCGGCAGAACAATGGCAAGAGGTCTCTTAGCTAGAGATCAAATGAGGGTGCTTTGAATGTAGACATCGTCTCTTTGTGTCATCAGACCAGTGAAATTGCAGTCTCACTTCTCAGCTCTAGCCATTTATCATTATTGTAAAGATACCGCCGAAGGAAACTTATCTATCTAGTTGTGCTATTTGACTCTGGTAAATTTCAGTCACTATGCTATGGGGGCGATTAGTCTTCGCTGTGCAAGGAGAAGGCTTCAAACAGCAGTTCCGCGTCACCTGCTTACTCCTCAGCAGATCCGTGGCATTAACATGCGACGTGACAGACTGCCACTCCCAACCGGGATGCAGAGGACAGGATACTGGGTGGTTGGTGTGGTGTTTCTTTTCCATCTCACCAGCATCCAAACGAAGATGAGCATTTCTAGGGCATACCAATCTAATCACGCTGATGCGCTTAGAGAACAGTTAGTTATCAACAATGCTGATTTGTTGCAGAATGTCATACTGAAATGGTACTGGTACCGTAGAATATGGCACATTTTTCTTTAAACATTTAGCGCCCTATCATAACATCTAGCTAGCGAATCAAAGAAAGCAATTCATTAGCAACTGCTTCATTTGTTGCTTAGGCCTTCTTGGCCTTTGAAGCATTCATTGCCAAAGAGTACATCAGGGTACCAGCGATGGCAATGGATGATCCAATAATAGATCCAGTGCTCATTGGTGTCTTGAAAGCAACCACAGAGGCAACAATGATGACAACTCGCTTGATGGTGTTTCCGACGGCGTGGGTAACTGGGTTCACCTGTTGCGACGTGGAGAAAGAGATAACGTTTTCAGGGTACAAGTGTTCACAGGGTGCGTGAAATGGAGTCAAATTTGAACCTTCTCTTACCTTTCCAAGGGCAAGGAAAGCAACTTCATTGTAGGCATAGTATGAAGCACCACCAAGAGCCAAGAGCACAGCAAGGGACTTTGTAGTGAAGTCAGGGCCAGCGGCAACTCCCTTGAATGCAGTGAAGAAGCTCGTTCCCTCCATAGCCAAGCAGGCTGGGATGAGGATCAGCGTTGACATGGCCGTCAAAACGGCATAAAGATTTTGGGCATCAAGGTTTTCACCAATTTTCTTTCCAGACATGGTCTTCTTAGACAATACACCACGTGCAGCCGAGGAGACATTGGAAAGCATAGCAGAAGCCAACGCCAAAACAGTGAAAGAAAGCTCCTTCATGGATGCAATGGCAACTCCTCCAATGATAGGGAGAAGAGTAAGGTAAACTGGGAGGGGGAAAGTCTCGCCCAAAAGCACAGCATTGAACAAGCAAGTGACCACGGGTTCAGATGCCTTCACAATGTGGGCAAAAGACACAGCACCGGCTCCAAGAGCAATCACAGCACCAACGTGAACTCCTGTGTGGCAAAGAGCAATGGGGAAAAGAGTCTTCAACTCCGCGGCACTGAGCTTGGGTGCCTTACGGGCTCCAGTGAGCCAGAGAGGAACAAAATAGAGAATACCAGCGGCCATTTGGATAGTGGCGACCGTCCAGGGGTAGTCAAGGACATTCAAGGCTTTCTTGTTGTAGATGTTGTAGGCAATGTTGAATAGATACCACAGGGCAAAATAGGAGCCCACAGTCAGACTCTCCATAAGGCCACCCCCCTTGGGTTCTTCGGCTACAGCCTTGGCACCTCCACTGGAGGAGAGTGCCAGAGCTGTCGAAGACTTCACATCGGCACTGCAAAAACGACGAAAGATACCAGAGTGTCAGAAATGGAAAAGTTCAAACAAATCGCTCCAGCTCTTTACCAGCCCAAAATCTAGCATGAAACGCACCCACGAACATATCGAAACGCCTTTGGCTCACTGATCCCCGAGCTACCCGCGACAGTCTTAATAGCCGGATTGGGTGCAAAGGCACTTGCCTGCACAGAGACCGAGGAGGCAAAGGCCACGATGACAACGGCTTTCCTGATGTTCGAGTACATGGTCTACGACTACTAGCTAGTGATGGTCTAAAACAACACTGAAGAATGAAGCTAGATTGGTTACCAAAGGGAGGTTGTCGTCGGTTGAAACCTTGCTTGGCTTGATAGACAACAACACGTACGAAGGTCAAAATCAATTGGATTGCGGTCGAATCTTTCTCGAGATGCGTCACCGTGTCTCAAATACCAATGAGCTTGCAAAGCTGTAGATCCGGAAAGTGACTGGTGGTCATTCCGTTGTGTTGGCACCTTGGCTTCGGGGGTGTACTACAGACCACCGGTACGGCACCCGTACGGTGCCGACGTACCGGTATGGTACCGGTACGTGTGACAAAGGTGGGTGTCTCAGTTGACAGCTGTTGACACTATCAACGTACACTTTTAGATTCAGCTTAGCCTACTACTAGCTAGCTGTTGTCTTCCTGAAGCCATGAAGAAAAAGCAGTGCTGAGTTGATTTGACGGTATCGCTACCGTACACTGTATCGGGCCAGCCAGCCACTAATATGCCTTGGAAAAACCCTGCCAATGCTCAATCCTGACCCTGGGGGAAAGCGGCTGCGGCCTTTCTTCTGGCCAATTCCAGAAGGAGCTCCTCGTCACTCAAACACGGCAATGTGGCTGCAGTGGCGACCAAGGGGGATTCTTTCGCAGTTTTAGAAACGTCCAGAGTTATATCGTCAGACTTGCCCTTCTTTTGCTTCTTCCCATTTGCGGGCTTTCGGCTTCTGCTCACAACTTCTTCGGTGTAGTTTCGTAGGATAATCGACAGATCGTCATGCATGAGCTATCCCATGCGACAAGGCAGAGCGGTCAGCGACACGCGCAAACCAAGTCTTGCAAAAATCGAAACAGGCGAGACCCAAACCACTTACCGGGATCAAGGATCTACGAATGTTGTCAAGAACGTTGGGGTAAATTGATTCTTCTCTAGACAGGAGCTTCTTCACTCTTGCCCTTTCTTTTGGCTCTTCAAAACAGGCAGGGCAATTCTCGTTGATGATCGGGAGGTTGGCAGACTTTGCAAAAGCAGTCATGAGACCCTCGCGGCAGTATATCAGGGGACGAATTACTGCAAGATCGCCAGCATCAATCTTGTAGTGAGCCTTCATTGTCCTCAAGGAACCATTGTGCATCGCGCTCATCAGGAAGGATTCGGCGCAGTCATCCAAGTGCTGTGCCAGGACTAACTTATTGCACCTGTTGTTGCGTGCACAGGTATATAAGTTGCCGCGTTTCATCTGAGACATGTAGGAAAAAGCTGGGTGTGAGCAGCATGGTGCCATTATAATGCAGTTGTTGCGGGCGTGATACGCAATTCCCTGTACTTACCCGCGCACAATACGCACACAAAGAGGAAGCGGTTTTTCCGTCCTTCCCGGCAACGTTAGCTCTCGTCACAATATCGTCCCGAATGTAGTGATACTTCAAGCCCAAAGATTCCACATAAGGAATCAACGCACTCGGGTCAAACGATGGTGTCATGGGATCTATCGTGCAAACCTCGATCGTGAATTTGATTGGAAGCTTTCTTTGACATTCCAACAAGCAGTGAAGCAAGCTCAAAGAGTCTTTGCCACCGCTCAAGCCGAGCAGAAGCCGATCACCTTCTTCCAGCATATGCCACTGTATCACAGCTTGGGTTATAAGTCGCATCAGCTTTGCGGGGGGTCGAAGAGCTTTTTTCTTGCTTTGCTTGTTGCCAGCTTCTCCGTCGGGAGGTGGTTTTTTGCTCTTCAAGGCACTAGATTTGGACTCTGAGGCCGGATCGAGCAGTGGCTGCACAAAGTTGCCACGGCCCCATTTTTCGTTGTCTCGTGATGGTTTTCTGGTCTCGTTCTTGACGTCTTGCACCCCGTCGTTTTGCACCTTCCTCAAAACGTCACTGGAGGGATTACTACCTGGTGTGGCTGTGGCTGCTGTCCTTGGCCTCTTGGCCGGTCGGAGGGATTTCGAATTACTCATTCGCCGAGGCCTGGTAGAATTGCTGCCATCGGCAGAAACCAAAGCCACATCGTTGACGGGTATAGCAGCTTGTAATGACATTTCACCGTCGCCGTCAGCAGCAACATGTGTCTTGTCATTGACACGCGAGGGAACGGCCCGTTCGTCTTCGCCTTTCGTGGTAAAGTACAATTCTGCTGCTACCGGCCGCAGCCCCCCTACAAGCTCCGCCGAAAAAGTTCCTGGTACTTGTTTCAGACCTTGCGACAAATGCAACGCGATCTCGTTGGGCTTCACAAACCAACGCAACTGTTCCAACGCATCAGAACCTCTTTCATCAACCTCCTGCATTTTCAGCGCTTGCGCTATACTGTTCTGGTCTTTCCTAGCTGCATTGAGAATACAATTGGCATTGGAAAGTGCATCTCTCAATACTCGCTCAATACCGTTGGATTCGGGTGTTAAAGTGTCGGTTGTCAACTTTTTGAGAGCATCTGAAGTCCTATCATAGTGGCTGAGCCACTTTCGTTCTGACTTGCCAAGCGGTTTTCCTTGTCGATTTGCGTGTCGCCACTGAAACGCACCGAAACTCAAGGTTAGTACTACATGTATGGCCTAGGAAATGCACTGACAGTGTCAATGCAACTACTTCAGTATGATGCTTGTATTCCAACTCACCTCTCCCGTACGATGATTGCATCGATAATGGCACATGAGTGCCCAACCATTCTTGGCCACCCATACAAGCGCATCCACGACGTACTGCACTTCCTCGCTGCGAAGCCCTTTAAAAGGCAGGCTCAGTCTGGTATAACCCGGTCTCAACGACTCTGCCCGTTCTTTGTAATGAAGCAAAGCATGTTCCATGGCTTTGTTTTGATCATTGGGGATTTCCTCCCTGCGACCGCTATCGGTCAACTTGCTCAGGCCCAACAAGCGCTGTGAATAAGGACCAGCACATTGGCACCCTCCGCGACTCTGTATACCGAATACATCATTTAGAATGGCACAGACGTAGTTGTAGTGAAGGAACCGGTTTCCACATTTGATCAAAAACGATAGAATTGGGAGATGTGGCGATTCATCATCATTGTTGTTGTTGTTGTTGGAATCCAGGAGCACCAGATTCGGAGCCGTCTTTTTCAAATAATTCGCAATGTGACTGTATGTCGCATATTCATGGCTCTGCAGAGAGGACGGTATTCTGTCTTTCTGTGTTGTTTCGTCTGTTTCCTTGCTACATGTATCTTCCAGTTGGTTGTTTTTGTTTTTGTTTTTGTTTTTGTGTGTGGCGACAATGTCTTGGTACTGTTTTTCGACTTGTCTCTTGAACAGAAAAGCGAGTCCCACCCTGAGAATTCCAGCCACATTGGGAGTCCCTCCTTCGAATCGCTCTATTCGATTGCTGAGAAACCGATGATGTGTGTTGGTAACATAAAAAACAGTTCCGCCTCCTGACCTTTTGGGTGCATTGGTTTGGTCGACGAGATGTTTTTTGATGACAAGCACGCCCGGAGTTCCAACTCCCCCAATCATTTTGTGCGGACTGAAAAAGATTGCATCCTTGGCAATGGATGAGGTATACTTGTCGGCGGTCAGTGGTGGTGGATTCATATCCATGTGCATGTATGGCGCTGCCGTGGCATAATCAAAAAAGGCGAGAGCTCCATGTCGATGAAGTGTATCTGCAATTCGATCCACGTCGGAGACTTTTCCCGTGACGTTGGAAGCAGCGGAGAATGTTCCCATTTTGAGTCGTTCCTTGTATTGTGGCAACTGCAATTGTTGTTCCAAGGCCTTGTAATCCACAGTCTTGTGATGTGGGCATTCCGGCACCATGACAATTTCGGCTCCAGATTCTCTCCAGGGTATAATATTGCTGTGGTGTTCGTATGGTCCAATAAAGACGACAGGTCGTTGATTGTTGTTCTCACTATTGTTGTTGTTGTTGCAAGCATGCTTGATTCCCAGACAATCAATCAAGAGTTCCACTGCAGCGGTGGTTCCATTTCCACTATCAATATCAGTCATTGACAAGTAGTAGCAACAGGTTAGACACGAAAGAAATATGGAATAGAATGAAAACATGACAAACATGATAACATGAATGACTTACGCAAAGAGCACAAGATCCTGACTGGCTTTTCCAGTAATTTTAGCATTTGTTTCTTCCGCTACAATTTGTCTAGCTTCTGCCAGAAACGCCGTGGACTGTGCCCCCGTGATGGATGTGTTTGTGTGTGTGTTTCCATAGAGAGGACGACAGGTTTGTTCCATGTATGCTTCAATACTGGTCAAAGATCGATTGCTGGCCGTCTGATCGCAGTAGACCAATGGGACTTGCAAAAAGCTGGAATCGCTGTGGGGATGAATGGTTTCTCCAAGAGGAACAGATGATGCACCAGGAGGAACCTTGAAGGGAGACGTAAACGTAACTGCTGCATTCTTTTTGCTTTGGGTGTCTTGCGCAATTTCGGAGCGAAGAGTATCAATGGCCTTCTCAAAGTCAGGATTTCCCATCATGGAACTTAGTAGTACCGGTTGGCCATCATCAGCACTACCGGTACTATTCATAGTACTAGTACCTGCAGCAACAGAGGAGGAGGAAGACATCTCGAAGCGGATTGGAAACACCGAGCTGTGTTATTTTAATAGAGCTTGCAGCTAACAATAGGATATGGTAGACGCCGTGGTCTGTGGATGTCGGGAGTTGAGCAAGAGACGCGATGAGTGGCCGGCAAACAAACAGGATTCGGAAGCTTGGGGCACAAGATGCAGACGAAAGCATAAGTTTTACCAGCTTCACTGGCTTGAAGAAGATTTTAAGTGCACGACTGACAGAGCCTCCAACCACCATCCAACACGATGCACGATGCGACCACAACTCAGCAACAAGGATACCACTTATACTGTTGTAGTTGAGTTGCAATCGACAAAAGCAAGTAACGATGAAGAGCTCTTATATGAAGTTTTCTGACGATGATGAGCCTGGTGGCACTAGTAATGGTACCAGCACTGGTTCTAGCAACAACAACGTAATGGAACGAAACATAGTGGAACGCAATGTTTTGGAACGACCCATTCGACCGCCACAGGCACCTGGTCAGTACCTTCATCAGCACCAGTTTCCACAGGCTACCCTGCGTAAAAAGTCGCTCTTTGCCCAGAATCGACAACAAGAACAGCAGAGTCAAAATGGTATCAATACTACCGGTAATATGGCATCCCCATCCACCAATGTGCCTCTGGGAGTCTTTGTCAAGAAGAAGAAAAACAGACAAAAGCTACACAAACAGCAGCACGATCCCCAACCACAAAAATCTTCCAATGCAGCTTCAACCTCGGCTACACAGTATCTGTCTCAATCAACGCCACAACAGGTTCCTGTATCACAGGCAGCTGCACAGGATGCAGAAGCCATGTTTGAGCGAATGTCACCAGCAGAGCGATTGGAAAATGCCAAGGAACTACAAGCGGCTCTCTCACCTCAAGCTATTGCGTACTTCAAAAACAGAAACAAAATACAAAAACAGAAAAATACAAACACAAACAAGAAGGACAATAATAATAAGGGAAAACCCATGGCCATCCACGCAGGAGTCACAATAGACCAGCAGAAGACGGAAAGGACCAACAATAACAACAACCTGGAAGAACCAAAGCAATCTACTACTAGTACCAGTAATACCCGTACATCCACAACCAATGATACCGAAGAAAAGCAGAGAATTGCTCAACTATTATCCAATGTCAAAACAGTCGATGACTTGGACGCTGCATACAAGGCTGAAGTCGGAGATTTCTCCCCTCTCGCTTCGGAATTGGGAAATGATATCCAGCAAAAGGAACCCTTCCAAATTGCATGTATGCTACTACGATCCACTGTTCCCAGACAAAATCTTTGGGCGGCCAAGATTGTATCACAACACTTTCAGCAGCAATGGGAACTGGGACGGCTCTGCTCTGTAGTTCCGGAACAACAAACTCAAACACAAGAAACTCCACCGTGGCCTTATCCTGTCCTCATGCCAGCCGCGCTGAGGTGTTTGTTGGATGCGCCAGCTACCCAAACAGGAGTCATTATTCATACTTTTGTACTCAACGCAATCTACAACTTACTCAGGCTGCGGTCTTGTGCCGAACATGTCGTAGACATCAATGACATGGTGCAAAACGACAATGTACATGCCACTGCCATTCATCAACTATGCTTCCTAGAAGATGCTATTCCCACTCCACCCGTTGGAAGCACTTATCCATCGACTGACAGTGTACAGGCTATTGCATCCGACATTGCTTCGTCTACAGCAACACCCGCCGCATACAAGACTTCATCCTCTTCCAAGTCGGCCAAGACCGATGGGGAAGCTTTTGGAAAGGATCCCAGTTGGACACTCCTTTCCAAAATGTGCATACTCCCTCGATTGGCACAATTAGTGCTGAAATCGTCATCATCATCAAGTCCCCAGCAGCAACAATCCTTACCGAACGAAGCACTAACGGCTATTTGTGGAATTCTTGCCATCATTGGCCAAAGGTCTCCGGGCACGGCTACCGCCATTGTTTTTCATCCTACCTTATTGAGGGACCTGTTGGATCATGCTCTCAAGCCGCAGCATAGGGAAGATCACAAAGATGATATTGGCACAGCGCAAAATCCATATGACGTGGCTCTGGCTTTGCCGGCCATACGGCTACTTGGAACATTGGCTCGACAATCGCGTGTCGTGGCAGAAAGGATCCTGGCGGTCTTTGATGAATACGTCCCACCCATACTGGCAATAAAGCCAAAGACCAAGCCAGAACATACTCTGCAAGTATGGTCGCTAATACTGTGGCGAACGCTACTTCGATACGGATTGGGCGTTCCCCAAATTCCTACCATGATTGCACTTTCGGTGCGGCACATGGTGGCCACGACTGCGGGAGCGGAACGGGAGGGTCGAAAAGCAATGCCGTTTTCACTGGCAACAGAATTTTCGACGTGCTTCGCCCATGTCTTGTTTTGTAGTCAAACTGCAAGAACACAGCTATCAGAACAAAATCAGAACAGCAATGACGGCGAAATCACAAAGGAAGATGTGGACGAGTCGGTGCTGGCAGCCAATCGGTGGCTGTCCTCTACGGCGAAGCAAGCAGTGGCCAGTCTCGAAACATGCTCCTTCGTCAATGACAAGGAGGCCATCTCAGCACAACAATTGCAATTCTGGGCTGCGCAACTCCAGTTTATGTCCGCCTACCTTGACACGTCAGCGGAGGATTCGATACCAGTTTTGGATTCGACAATACGCGACAAATGGATCAGCATCTGCCAAAGCGCCCTTGTCGCCTTTATGAGGCAAGACGTTTTGAAGACAACACTCAATGCCCTTTGTGCAGCAGTTTTCGCGTGCAGCTTTTCGGAGTTGCCCGACCCAATTGACGGGCTGGTCTATGAGGCGAGCGCATGTGCATTCTTGTGCTCATTTGTTTCTCTGCAGTTCTGCCTTGTCAAGCTGATACTCGGTCAGAGCAAGAGTACTTTAGATGCCGGCGATGCAGATTCTGGGGCTACTTTGGAGTCGAGCAAACTCGTTTTTGCAGAGTTTGCATCTATTCTTGAAACGACTCTGGCTATGCCTTTACTGGCATCGTCGAGATCGAGAGTGGTGACAGGCCCTCCCTGTCCTCGCAGAGGATGGTTGAACAGAACATGTTTTGCTTCGATTCAAATGTTGGAAGCCGCCAAGAGCTATTTTTCACTATCGACTGGGCACAGCGAAGTCACGCGAACACTTCAATTTTCTCTCTTGGGAAGACTCGAACGGGGCGATGAAGCCATGGCCGCGGTGCTGTTAAGCCAGGATTCTTCTTTCGATGTTCGCGAGGTGCAAACATCTGCGAAAAGGGAAGGGAAATTTTCGTTGATTTCGTCCGTTTTTCTAAAGGAGCTATGCGTGGAGAGTTCCGCGAGACTTCAGCTTGAACACAGCTTCAATCTTCTGAGACATGGACCTGGGGTGTCCCGAGACGAATTTGGTATATCAAAACTTCGGTTGCTGCTCAGCGATGTCGACTCGATTGTTCCGTCACGGAATCACGACTTCTTATTGCCAATTGGTACTCTGTGGCTTTGGATGACGTTGTCAAGCTCAGTCTCCAGTGCACCTTCTAATGATGGCACAATACACGAAGAGGACACAGCAAGCGAACAGTCGTACGGTACCGAGGTTTTGTCGTCATCCCTACGCTTGATCTCAGAACTAGAACAAAGCTCAACACCGGGGGATCAAATCAATCCATTCAACTACGCCGCACAGATCGACAACGGAGCCAAGGCCTATCATTTGCTTCTACTATGTTTCCACCCAGAGCACATCTTGCAAAGCGACGAGGTGGCTGGTCCTGCAGAGTTCCTACTCGAGCTATATACCCGAGACATGGACAACTCTTTTGCTGTTGCATTCGCTAGGGCGTGCTTGCTTCATTCATCTGGCAAGAAGAAGAAGTTCCAGGATGATTCTTCTGAAGCAACAGGCACATCGTCGAAGGCGGAAAAAATCGTGTCAGAACTGCTTCACGGACGTGAGGCGGATCGTCGGGGACTGCTCAGTGAAGATGAAACACGTGCAGTGTTGGGTTTTTTAAATGAGCTCTGTGATGTGTTCTTGCAATACGGAGCGCAGTACGACTTTTGTGTCCGCTGCGTTCGCTGTTTTTTGATGCCCACGTTCCCGTCTCGAATTAGATGCAAAGCTGCGAGCCGCCTGGGTGACGTGTTGAGCGTGATATCGCTTCCAGGGGAAGAGGACCCGTGGTCGGATGCTGGCAGGCTTATGCTGGTTCCATTGCTGGAACGAAGCATTCCGGGATCGTCACCAGAAGATGGTGGGTTGACGACAGAAGATGGTGGGTTGACGAGGGAATCACCACAGTTTCTGGACGCCCTTGTGGCCGTCTACGGAAAAGGAGGAAATCCTCGAGTGCAAGTTGGATACACGCTGATCCTCTTCGTACTGGTGCATGCTCGCCACCTCGCAATGTGTTTGCAGCCAGGATGGGTTGGCCTAGAGGCCGAACTAAAAAGGCTGCAGAAAGTCAACGACGAAGTCGCCTCCATGGTTACCAATGCTGCTAGGAAGATCTCGAGGTGCACCGCCAACAGCAAATCAGATATGGTCGAGGCAGCCATAGACGCGGTACAACGCAAAGATGCGTGATTGAGAGGGTGATCACATAGAGAGAATATAGTACTACTTATAGTGCGTACAATTGCCAGCTAGCTTGTTTCTTGGCCGAATCATGTCCCTTCTAGCTCCACCATGCACCGGAGGTATCGGTCAGAATACAGTGCGCCCACAATAACCGTGCAATGCTACGGTAGGTTGGAGGTGGGCTTCGTTTGTCGCCGTGTACAACGCTGCTGTTGTTGCCTGAATCGACAATGCGACGTGCATGCTTTTTACATCAATTCGAGCAGGGAATCCATTGATGTATCCTAAATAAGAAATAAAGAAGAAACATTAAGAAGGTGACGTTGGAGCAGGAGGAACGTTAGGGAGCAACATCTTACATATCGCTTTCTTGCGCCAAGCATTGGCGAGTTAAGACGATTCAGAGATGCGGTCCCATCCATTGAAATGGCAGTCGATCCATCCTCGTCAGTGGTGTACCCTGATTCGGACACCACGCCAGATCTCTGAGTTGCAGATTCATCGTCTAGCTCCAAAATCGCACTCATGTTGCCATCTTGATCAAATCTATATGCAGAAGGAAGCATTTCAGAGAAAGGCGACAGTGGTCTGTCGTGGTCGTGTTGACTTGTGTACTGGTCTGACCCCGCAGCATGTGTTGCCGCTCCAAACGACGATGAAGAAGTTCCATGCCTTCGTAAATAGTAAACTAAGCCGACAGAGGCCGCGAAGGCACAGCCACCAACGGCAAACAGGACAAGGGATGCGTTGATGTTATTGGGGCCTGGAGCAATGTTCTGGGGTGCTTCCTCGGAATCACCGAATGCAATAGGGTTCACGATTTCTGGGCCAAGATAAGCCGCTCGTTCTAGATCATTGATCTGGGCGTCGAGCAATGAAATCGTCTCACGGATGGCTGTCAATGTGTAATATCTGGCAAGTTCAAAGTCCGCTTCTGGCGAGATATAGACTGGGAGATCCGCGAAATAGTTAGATGTGAGCGGGCGGTTTGCTGCCACTGTCTGTGGCCTGGCGTGACACGCAAATATCCTCCTCTTACCTGTCAAAATACCGTCAAACACTGTGCAGGCATGTCTAGTGTCCACAACTGCGTCGCAGTCACCTATAGAAGCAAATCGTGAGTTACAGCGACATTTTCACAGCCATGGGAAATCAAACACAGTAGAGCAAGCAAAAACCGTACCTTCCTCGGAGAAACTATCCTCCGGGACATGGTCGACAGCTTCAAACCCTAATGCATTGTCCGCTTGCACAATGTCCACGTCACACGGCAGGAGAAGGTTGGCAATATCCCTCGCCAACGCCCGCTCCATTTCCTTTCTTACAAACTCCACGGCGGCTAGTCCATTTGTGCTCGTTTCGAGAGCGTACGTGAACACAATCGTCTCTGCTCTCACGAGAGTAGCATCGCCACCACACGACACAATCGTATCTTCCGATGCTGCCGGAACGGTTTCGTTTGTGCTCGTAGTGGGGTGAGATGGAGCTGGCGAGCCAAGTGGCAAGTTTGCAACCGGAGACTCCACATCTTTCTCTTCTACGAAACCAGGACCGTGCACCGCTTCTGTTGGTACTGTCGCCAAGTCTTCAGGAGACTCTGTACCAGTAGTGCTTGAGCTGGGAAGCTCCACGAACGAAGGCATAAGGTGCAAAATAGTAGGAAACGCATCAATGGAGGGAGCGGTAGATGGTACCACAAGTGCTGCTTCTGACACAGTTGGTTCCGTCTCGGATGATGGTGGTTGATTGACTATGCCTGTTGGATTTGCCAGTGTAGGCGTTGATCCGGATATTGCTGCAGGGGTTGTAGGGGCAGCGGCAGATGGGGTTGTAGCAATCAAGGCAGCAGGAGCTGAAGACAATGATGGTGGTTTTGACACGGGTGCAGAAGGAACAATTGGAGTTGGGGATGGCAATGATTCTGACATTGATGTAGGCACAGATGCAGCTGCGGATGGTGGGCTTGGAGTAGATGGTGTCGCAGGCAATGATGTAATTGGGGCAGCCACAGGAGAAGATCCTGGCGTTGGCTGTGATTCTGGGACCATTGGTGTTGCCGGATTTGTTGTGGTTGGCTTTACAGCAGATGGACTTGTTGGCTCTGATTCCGTTGGTTTCACTTGTGCAGAAGCTGTTGGTTTTGGTGCAGGTGATGTTGCTGTTGTCTCTGATTCCAGAACCGTAGGTGATACTGGATTTGAATCAGTTGGACTTGGGACCACTGGACCTGGTCCAGTTGGGCTTGATCCTGATCCCGAGGTTGGGCCTGACCCAGATGGCGAAGTTGGATTTGTTCCAGTTGGTGATTTGGTAAAGCTTGGAACTGTGGAGGTTGGACTTGCTCCTTGCGGTGAAGTTGGATTTGTTCCAGTTGGTGAGTTGGCTAAGCTTGGTGCTGTTGGGACGTTGGAACTGTTGACGTTGGACTTGCTCCTTGTGGTGAAGATGGACTTGTTCCAGTGGGTGATTTGGCTAAGCTTGGTGCTTTTGGAACAGTAGGAGCTGTTGAGGTTGGACTTGCTCCTTGTGGTGAAGTTGGACTTGTTGCAGTTGGTGACTTGGCTAAGCTTGGTGCTTTTGGGGTTGGACTTGCTCCTTGTGGTGAAGTTGGACTTGTTGCAGTTGGTGACTTGGCTAAGCTTGGTGCTTTTGGAACTGTAGGAGCCGTTGAGGTTGGACTTGCTCCTTGTGGTGAAGTTGGACTTGTTGCAGTTGGTGGCTTGGCTAAGCTCGGTGCTTTTGGAACAGTAGGAGCTGTGGAGGTTGGACTTGCTGCTTGTGACGATGTGGGACTTGTTGCGATTGGTGATTTTGCTGCACTTGCTTGTTGGGACATTAGGAGCTGTCGATGTTGGACTTGCTCCTTGTTTTGATGTGGGACTTGTTGCAGTTGGTGATTTTGCCGCACTTGGAGCTGTTCCAGTTGGACTAAACCCATTTTGTGATTTTGCTGAGCTCGATGAGGCAGTCGGTGTTGGTGATGTCAAACTCGATCCAGTTGTTGCACTTGGATTCAATGCTGCTTGTGATGTTGGACTTGCTGGTATTGGACTTGATCCAGTTGGCCCTGTTGAATCTTGGTCCCGTTGACCCTGTTGGCCCTGTTGGACTTGATCCCGTTGGCATAGATGCACTTGGCCCCGTTGGCCCTGTTGGACTTGATCCTGTTGGACTTGATCCCGTTGGCATTGATGCACTTGGTCCCGTTGGACTTGATCCCATTGGCCCTGTCGAACTTGGTCCTGTTGGCCCTGTTGGACTTGCTGCGTTTGGCCGCTGGGTTGGCACGTTTTTGCTTGATGTAGTCGGAGAGGTAGGCATGACAGCATTTGCTCCAGGACTTTTTGTGTAGGCTGGCGAAACGCTGTTCTTCACTGGTGAAACCGTAGGGGCTGCCTGTACAGTAGGCGCGACAGGCGTTGATAATGGTACCTTCGTAGACGGTGCATTCGGTGAAGCGGCCCACGGTGTTTTGGTTGCTACGTTTGCCGTGGGCGAACTTCCTGAAGGAGAAGGCATGCTCACTGCGATTGTAGGAGTTGAGTTTTGTGAGGGGGCCGAAGGAATTGGTGGTGAGGGAGCTTTGGTTGCAGAGACGGTGGGATTGGCTGACACTGGAGCACCCGAAACGCCTGAGACAGCGACCGTAGGATTCTGAGTAGCAACCGGGGAATGACCTGGACTGGACGGTGAAGCAGGAGAAGCAGGCGCCATGCCCGGGGAACCTGCTGCATGGCTGTTTGGAGGAGGATCTTTGCAATCAACGGGCGTAGGTGGGACTGTACAGGTTGGCGCTGATGGCTTCGGTGTTGCTGCTGTTTGCCCTACAGGAGTTGGTACCATGGTCGTTGCAGGCTGCGATCCCTGCGGCTGACCTGGAATATGTGGTCCAGTTGGGGTTGGGAACTGCCAGTACGAGGAGTTTGTCAACTGTGTCAATGGTACAGGTGCCTGCGTTCCTGATGAAGTACCTGCATCGGTAGAAACGGTAAGAGCAGTGGGTTTTCTCGTAGGGACTGGGTCTACCACGACAACAGTAGAAGGCATGTAAGCAATACTAAGTGAAGGTGATGATGGCTGAGGCTGAGGTTGAGGCGTTGAGCCCGATGAAACAGCTACAGGCTGACTTGTGCTCGAGGATCCGGTAGGCACTGGAGTCAGCGGTGAAGGTGCTGGAGCTGTACTAATACCGGTATCAAGAATGACAGTGTCCACATTTGATATTGCATGGAATGTGGGAGCTGGAGGGGGGCCTAAGGATTCGCCATCTCTCCCTCCAGAGCTCTCGGGTAGAACAGGTCCCACAGGTATACTGTTATCAGCAGCCGCATCAGCCCTATCCCGTCCAATTTGATTAGCCATTTCAACAATCTTATCGACATCTCCACTGAACGTTATCGCTTTGCTTGGCGGACGAGGTCCAGGGATTTCTTGGGTGCGTCTTTCTGCAATGCGATAAAGCCTTCGTTCTGACAGTGCCGCTTCGCTGTGCTGCACCAATACGGTCGAAAGCATTAGGCAGGCAAGACACCGCCTCGACGAATTGAGCACCTGAATGAATATTGCCATTGTCAAGCGCTTTCTCTAGCTCTATTAGATAGTATGCTGGATTCTGATGTTCTGCATACCGGTCGGTGGCTTTAGTTAGAAGCCGATTGTCTTCGTTGCTTTGAGGCATTGACAGTTGCAACTTTCAAAAGAGAAAGTGACAACGACTAGTAGCTTCGTAGCTTCCCGTATCCCAGAAATTCTTCGAAAAATCTGGAATGTTCTAGAATGGTGTCCACAACCACACACACAGGAAAGTATCCATGGTTCACACGTCACGGTCTTTGCACTTCAACAAGAGGAGGAAGTGCCAACCCTTCGTTTCAGTGGTTGCTGGACGGATACCCCCAGCCATCAACACAATCAGCACAGTATTTTTGTGGCTATTACCTTGCTGCAATGGTTCTTTCTGGCCGCTCCCCCCCCCTGATTGCTCTGTTGCTTGTGCTTTCCTGGTCGACACTGGAAGGATTCACTGCAGTCCCCGAAAATTCAAGGCAGTTACAATCATCTACCATGAGGAGGGCAGCAGCGTCTTCCGATGGCTTGTCGGACAGCGATCTTGCTAAGAAAATCATGTACCACAATCACAGGAAGAAGAGGGAGAGCATGCGATACCAAATCATTGCTGCTGAAGAATGCGAGGCCCTCGCAAAGAGAATAGAAGATGTACGTTTTAAAAAGAACAGATGAGAGGACAAATTGCATGCATGAAGTGGATGAAAACTAACAATACAAATATGGATCTTCCGTTCGGCACCAATTCTGATCAATCTCCAATCTACACAGAAATATCCCGATAGGTTTTCCTTCCACTCAAGCAAATGGCAAAAGTTCCCTGATGGAACAGATAATATTGAGATTGGAGGATTTTCTCCACACAACCTAATTGCGGGAGAAGACGTCCTGTTTTTGGCCAGCTTTCACAACAACGATGCCACTTTGAGCCAGTTTCAAGTCATGATTTGCCTTCTTCAGAGCTTCATTGAATCCTTGACGGTGGTGCTCCCCTATTCCCCGGTGGGAACTATGGAACGCGTAGTCCAGGAAGGACAGGTTGCCACTGCCGCTACCTATGCACACATGTTCTCATCCCTCCCCAATTGCGGAAGACCCACTCGTCTCATGGTATATGATCTACACACACTACAAAATCGATTCTATTTGGTATGTATATGTATATCTGTTGTTCAGAGTTGCTTGAGAATGCAGATTCGATTCATCAAGACTCACCAGAAGCAATTTGAATAATGGCTCCCACTACCGGTACCGTATTTACTGAATACACAATCAACTTGCTCAGAGTCGTAATGCTGTGGCTTCTCTGCAGACAGCTATCCCGCTTCTGAAAGAAAGAATGGAAGAAGCCAAAATCAATTGTGTCGCATTCCCAGATGACGGCGCTGCTAAAAGATTTGCAGCCATGTTTGAGGACATGGACATTGAAGTCATTGTCTGTGGCAAGACAAGGGGCGAGGGAGACACCCGATATGTTGTCATCCAAGATGGATGTGCCAAGGACAAGAGAATCGCCATTGTAGATGATCTTGTGCAGACAGGGTAAGGTCGATTGCAGGTCATCAACACATGTTGATTCGTTATTCGTTCAACTGGGTTTGTGGAGTCGAGTCTGACTTGTTTGGTGCATACTTATTTTGCTTCAAAAGTGGTACCCTGTATGAAACGGGCAAAGTCCTCAAGGAGGCTGGAGCTGCATCTGTGAATGCTTTTGTGACTCATGGAGTATTTCCGAATGATAGCTGGAAGCGGTTCAACAAGGGAGGGGATCGAGCATGCTTTGACAAATTCTGGGTCACAAATTCTATCCCGACAGTGACGGATAAACTTCCTGAGGAGGACGGTGTATTTGAGGTCCTTGACCTCATGGATTTGATCATCAATGACCTCGACCATTATTCCGGCAGCAGGTAACGAGATCCTTTTAAAAATCATGTACTGGTAATAATTCTAACTAAAGTAGTGCTACTAAGAATTTAGTTGATGAAGTGCTCCATGCATTTCTGCATTCTTTGTTTGCTGCTGTTCAGCTATGTGTTGGGCATTTGGCATCAATGGCAGAATTGTTTTCCATTTGCACCTGAGTATTTGTAGACCCCATAGCCGGTGTCAGTCAAACTCAAGCACTTTGGCCCTCAGTTTTATTCTTAACCGGCCACTCTCTCCAGGCTGCCTCTGCAGAGGATTATCATTCTTCAGCGAGCCTGCATGCAGCTCTGGTATCTAACTTTCGGATAAGTCATGCAAGAGTCGAGTCAACTGGGACTGGCCCATCCGCGCTGAGCAAAATGCCTTTGGTCGTCGATTCGATTCTTCGCCAATGACCGAACAAGCATTCCGACATTCCAACACCTTTGCTTCCCTCAAAGCGACAGCCACAATCCATCACCCATCATAGCGAAATCGTCGAAACTATTCCAATCTCGAAGCAACACGCAAAACTGTTCTAACTACGAAATAACAAGCCTCTTTGAAAGGAACTTAGCTACTAGCCACCATGGTGCAAATGACTGCAGCCGATCAGGCTGTGGTGAGGGCGATGCCTGGAAATAAGTGCTGTTGCGATTGTGGGATGAAGAATCCTCAGTGGGCCAGTGTCAGCTTTGGAAATGTCTTTTGTTTGGATTGTAGTGGGGTCCACAGGTACGTAAGAAGAAAGTCTGAATATTGTTATCAAGAAGAATTTGTTTTTTGATGAACAATTAATTGTTGTCTCTTTCATCAGATCGCTAGGTGTCCATATCTCCTTTGTACGCTCAATTGCGATGGACTCTTGGACTGATAAACAACTTTCAGCAATGAAAACAGGAGGAAATGACAAGTGCAACGAATATTTGAAGAAAAATGGAATTGATCCTCGCACTCCCATCAAACAAAAATATGAAAGTCCAGTGGCACAATTATACAAAGAAGTGTTGAAAGCCAGAATCGAAGGCCGACCAGAGCCCACTGAATTGCCAAAACCAGCTCCTAAAAAACAATACACTCCAGCACCCAGCAGTGGTGGCTTTGGCAGTAGTGATGCTAGTGGTATGGAGCGATTGGCAGGAGAAACCGATCAACAATACATTGCCAGGCAGACACGCTTGAGAGAGGAGGCCAGGGCCAGAATGGCCCAGAAATTTGGTGGATCTTCCATGGGCGGTGTTGGCTCCAGTAGTATGCAAGGTATTGGAAGCAACCCCAATTATAACCGTTCTTCATCCATGGATGCTGTGACAGATTCGGTGGTTTCAGGCCTGGGAAATGCCTTTAACTTTGCTGCCTCCATTGTGAATGATGACAAAACAAAGCATTCAATCGGCGGCCTCACCAGTTCAGTCAAAAGTGCAGGTGCTGGATTTTGGGGTGGTCTCACCTCCGGTGTTGCCGGTGCTGCTCAGGCTGTGTCTCAACCAGATGTTGGTAATGGGTTGGCAGACCTTCAGCGTGAATTTGCATCCAAGAAAACTGGCAGTATGTATGCCGGTTTTGGTTCTGATTCTATGAATCCTCCTGCCTCATCAAATGGCCTAGGAGGAGGATCCAGCATGGGATCTGGGGAAGCCCCTGGTTTGCCTGGAGAGGATCGAAATGGTGTTGGAAGGTTAACAGGTGAGACAGACCAGCAGTATATTGCTCGTCAGACCAGACTGAAAGAAGAGGCCAAAGCTCGAATGGCAGCAAAATTTGGATCTGGTGGATTGGGTGGTGTTGGCTCAAGCATTGGCATGGGGTCTCGCTCTGCCCCTCCCAGTGTGGGTGTCCCTGGTGGAGCTGTTACGGCGGAAGCCCCAGGTTTACCTGGTGAGGACCGGAATGGTATTGGCCGCCTGACAGGTGAATCGGATGAACAGTACATTGCACGCCAAACGAGGCTCCGTGACGAAGCCAAAGCGAGAATGGCGGCCAAGTTTGGGAAGGAGGGTCAATGGGTGGTGTTGGTTCTGGCTCGCAGCCATCTTCCTCTCGTGGAATGGGATCTCAAAATTCTTTTGGTTCCCAGCAATCCTTTGGTTCTCAGCCTTCCAGCACACGTGCTGTTGGGTCTGCTCCATCTTCTGGTGGTTATTCTACTCCTCAAAGATCGTTCACTCCTCCCGCAGTGAAGCATTCACCCCCAAAGAAGCAGCTGAGCTCGGACGACTTTTTTTCTTCCTTCGGGACTTAAAACAGAGGTGAATCTTCATCTCTTCCTCACCCCCCTTGAACCCACCAGAAACTACAATATTACAAGGCGTTTTACTGTTACTATTACTCGTAGTACTACCTGGTACTAGTAGCTAGTTTATAAGACGATGTGTTCCATCTGTCCAGGCTGAGGTCCAAATTCCTCGTGAACGTTGAACGCTCGTTGGACTGACATCACAGAAAGAAGCATAACCAAAATGGGCTTCAGCAACCGTTTAAATTTAATGTACGGAAGCTCCCCCATCGGTCCAGACATCCAAGAAGCACATGTGAATTCCTTTGACACTACCTTCCGAAACCTCCTCCTCGGCCAAAGCCACCAGAGGGACCGCCGCCACCACCACACAAGCGTCCTCCACCGCCGCCACGTCCTCGACCAAAGCCGCCACCGCCACCGCGTGAACCACCCATTCCTCTGGCCCCGAATCCTCCTCGGCGCCTCTCGTTTGCCTTTCGTAAAATAGCTGCCGCTTGTCCAACGGCTTGTCCAGAGACTCCTTCGGGTGGCGCGCCACCGTACTTTCTCCAGTGCTTGATTCTGAATACCGCGTCAGTTCAGGAACGCAAAGAGAGAGGAAAAGCACATGTGATAGAAGTTACCGTGAGAATAGAACATTCACACCAAAATGCACTCACCTCAGATCCGGACGTCGAAAAGAAGAAAGTTCCCGTCATCTCCAAGCAAGCAAACCATACTTACGCCATCAACCAAAAAAAAACTCAGCTCCACTCGAAATCAACATTACTTACCGATTGAACATGGGTGCATGCTTCAGCATGCTGGGTAGAATAATAAAGACAATCTCGGGCCCGCGGATATAGATTTGGTTCACTTTCCTCTTGGCTCCCGTGTCGCACTCCTTCACAACGCAGTTCTTCATGTAGAGATTCATCTGATCTTCTGCTTCGAAAATGAGACCCCTCACCAAATGAGACCTGGTTTCCACTTCGATCACCGCTCCTTCGGCATCGTGAAGGAGGACAATCGGGATACCAACGCGATTGTTTCCAACGACAGACATGGCCGATCTGTTGACGCTTCTTTCTTCTTTTCGATACTCTGCCTTTGCTTGATGGTGTGACGATCCTCTCTATTGCCTCGACGACTAGCTAGCAAGTATGCTCTACTTCTATGTACGGTTGTATAAGTCGAGGTCTGTCGCTCTTGGATTTGTTGCTTTGCTGTGTGGTGGTGGCAACTGAATTGGGCGAGTGTGCTTCTGGAAAGAACCTTTCTTGTCATCAAATCAGGTAAGGTTAATGTTACTGCTGAGACCAAGGCATTTTCCTCTAGTTTGTCGGTGTACTGGTACAGGACCATAAAAGGTTCATGGTTGTTGAATGAATTCTGGTCACTAGTGAGTCCATAGTGATGATAAACTTCCCAAACGTCTTAGGGAGTTTGGACGGTGGCGGCAGTTATTGGAACTTCAAAGAACAGGTAATTCCTAGAGTTCCTACACCCTAGCTGGTTGTGTTCCGCGCTTCAAGATTCAACAATCCCAATTATAGTTATGGATCAAATGTGCTTCCAGAGGCGTATATGTCGAAACTATTATTACAGCTCCTCGGTCACCTACTGTTTTACTATACAAATTCAAATGAATCTTGGAGATTCACCCGGTCCCCTCAGTCCCCTAGGGGATGGGCAAATCTTGCTATAGCGCGGTAGTGTACTCAACAGGAGTGGCGAATGTAAGAAAAAGGGGCAAAAATAGATTTTTGCAGGAAACAAGATTCAATTGGATTAGATTGCATTGGATTAGATTGAATTGGATTGAATTGGATTCAGAATAGTACTGTTATTTGTATAGTAAACTGGAATTCAATGCAATGCAATGCAATCCAATTCAATCCAATCCAATCCAATCCAATAGAAAAATTGCATCCAAAAAACAATATTCGCTTTTTCACAGACAATTTTACAAAAAACACTATCAAATACAATGCAGGGCTATGTGCAAGTTTGCTCATCCCCCTACTGTTTTTTCTACTACGAGATTAAAGTGGGTTTTGAATGGGACCGTGCTTTATTGAGTGTTAAATGGGGTCATTTCAGATAAAACCCACTTTGAACTGTGTAGATTGTCCCAAATGACGTATTTACTTAAAATGCCAAACGAGGTATTGGAAGCATTTTCCATCATACAATATACTACTCATCTAGGCTCTAAGCAAATCCAACCAAGGTAGGCTTGATAAGTTAATGCTTCATCTCCTTCTTTTGCTTCAGTTGAGATTAGGATTTAATTGTGCACGGAAACGTTCTATGCAATTATCATCAATAAAGCCATGGGACACTGAAGGCTTTTCAGTTTGTACTGATTTCGTATAGTAAATCGGTGTTGTCCCAAAACGCCCGTGCAAAAACCACTTTAATTCTGTACCTAGCTACCGGTAGCTAGCTAGTCTAGTGAAACCTGGGACCAGCAACAACAATCGCAGAACATGTAGTGAACGGGGCAGGTGTGCATCCAAAGAAAAAGAAACAAAAGATTGACAGTAATCAATCCATTCACATCCAAAGAAATCGAAACCGCACTATAGTATTTCGAAGAGGATGCCACCATGGATGGTCCTCCGTGTACTGCATACCGGTATCCATAGTGTTTGAGTACAGGTCGTAGGAGCCACCCACACGGGTATCCTCCTCTTGTTTGTTTCTCTGCGTAACAACAACAAGGCGGCAGCAGCAGCAATAACAACAACAGCGCAACAACAACAACAACAACAGCGCAACGACAACAGCGCAACAACATCGATCGGCAACTACTACTACTACTACTACTACTACTACTACTGCTACTACTACTACCATCATGTCTTCTGTTTGGGTTCAGCTCTACATTGGTGACGACGAGAGTGGTGGAGCCTTCAAGATCAAACACATCCCCGATGACATTAGTGACTTGAAGGAGAAGGTCTATGAAAGAAACAAAGCAATTCTTGGGCACTGTGTCGATGCCCAGCTTGTCGTGTACTCCCATGGAACCAAACCACCTTTCTCCAACGACAACGCTGTGGATCCTGGTGACGATGTATTGGTACCAAAACTCGACTCTGTGCCGGTGGACGAGATTTCTATCTACCACACAGGGACCACATCTTCCTCTCAAGGCAAGGCTATTGATCCTGGTGACCCTGTGCCCACCGGCACTAAATCCAATAATCCATTGATTGTGGTGGCACCCGCTCCGAAGCAAACAGATGGTAAGTGGAGTTTCTTCAAGTCATCCAATTAATCTGCCACTCTTTGATTACTGTGGGTATTTCGATTGCTTTGCCTTACTGATATCACCTTGTCACCAAGCTCCAGGAGTTTCTGCAGAGCAGATCAGTTCACTTGTTGCTTTTGCACAAGAAGAATTGGATAACAGGACGAAGCACAAGGCCATGTCAGAAGCATCTGTGCAATTTGCTACATCTATATTGGCTGGGAATGGTATCCAGACTGCCGTGGAGGACCCTATCCGGGAGGCTGGGTCCCTGGTTGATCCACCAAAGTTTTCATGGGAAGTCGTTGATTCGGGCGGCCACGTCTGGAACAATAGTGAACATGCCGGTACGCCTGGAGTGGTGAAGTGGGCTAATGAACACCTGCTGGCTGGGGAGAAAGAGTATGGCCTCAAGGTTGTAACGGGTGCAGTACTTCCAAAGGTGAAGGGTAACAGGAAAAGTGCAGCCGGAAAAGGTGACATTGCCATTGGAAAATTGGAAAATATGGAGTATGGGGATACTTTCACTTTTGTGAATGGTTTAGTTGAACTCAAAACAGATAGGTCTTCTTGCAAGAAAGGACAAAACTTGCTTGAACTGTTTGCTTTATCCATGACAAGCAAATTTGGGAGAGGTGTTGCTCTTTTGGCCACAGATTGTGATGAAACATGGGAGACCTTCCATTTCTCAAAAGTGGGCGTTATTACACACAGGTTTTATGATCATGGCGGAAAAGCGTGGGAAGATTTCATGAAGTTGATCAAGTCTGCAGAAGTACGTCAACTTCAAAACTCTCCTCCAGCTTCACTGGCAACAATCAAAGAAGACCACAAGGGCGAAGAAGACGAACAGAACTTGGATGGCTTTGCCATACCAGCTCACGAAAAAAAAAGACAGAGAGCATTGGATGACCAGGCAATGCTAGAACGCATTGCTGATCACCTTGGTGAGCTCTATGGTGAACGGCCTGTTGTCCCGTCGTGGGCTCATGCTGAAGCAAGGATTCCTGACTACTATGTCTAGAATCATGGTGTTAACAGAACATGCTTATAAATATGCACTTATAACGGTGAAGTACTACTATCTTGTGGTATCAAACTTAGCCGAAAGGACCAGGGGACTCGAGGGGTAAGCATACAGGCTGTATCTAAGCTATTGATGCAAACGCAAGCACGTTCCCGGTAGGACATTCCAATGCGAACTACGACATCATTTCCAAAAGACTTAAGGTTACATTAAAAGACTTAGTAGACACCCCACAGTCCTGGCTCGATCCTCAACACGAAACAGATCTCCTCTGCATTTAATTTGTGTAAAATACTCTTCTTTACTCTTATCAAGATGATGCTATCTCCTTTACAGCGTCTATTCCTCTTTACAAAGGCTACTATAATACTCCACCATGACAGGCTCCTCTTGTTTGGTTAGCGGCAACGGCAGCCATTCGACGATCGCTCGTCGTTCGACGGATCGATCAACTTCCGATGACTTCTTTCTTCTTCCACGGAGCATGCAATCGATCGAAGCGACCATGACGCCTGCCTCCTCTTCTACGGAGCGACGACTCCTCACTGCCGCTACTGGTACGGTAGAGACGTCATGTCGCTCCGTGGAAGAAGAAGTCATCGGCCGAATCGCTCCGTCAAACGAAGACGCTTGTTGCCATCGCTTGTTGTTCTAGTGGTAGTAGTCCGGTAGTCGCTTGTTGTTTCATTAACGGTAGTCTCTGTTAGCGATACCACAAAAGCAACAAATGGCAGCTTCTCTACTACTGCTTTGGCTGTCGACGGCTTTGGCTGACTACAAATAATGAAGTCTGCGCAATTTGCCATGGTTGAGCCAGCAATTCTCCTTTGAATCTTTGGGATGGGTGCTCCAGTCTTCATGCAAAGCCAACCATCCATTTACATGACTCTACAGTGCAGATTGAGTGCTGAGAGTGAGGACTGGAGCACCTTTCCCATGGAGAAATGAATGGCAGAGTGACAACAAAATGCAATCCAAGCTGGATTTTTCCTACAGGCTCCATAAGAAACCTTGAAGATAGCAAATCCTTTTTGAGGGGTGACTCTGTGGGTGTGTTGGGGAGCTGCTGCTGGAAAAGAATTTGCTATCTCTGTGTATTGATAAAGCTAATGGCCATTTGGTCAACTCTGTTGCCATGGTGATAAAATTCATTTTTATTGCTTCAATCTTTTCTTTTTGTGAGCCAGTCATTCCAATGCAGCATTCGCGAAATGACCACTTCGGTTAGAAATGACCACTTTCGATTCTGGTTTGGCCAGAACGAATTTTGGAATTGTCAAATGAATCTTCTCCGCCGCGCCAGTCCGTAGCATGTGAAGACATGACGGCGACAAAAAAGTTGCACAGATCAAAAGTGCGACTGCAGGCGGATATATCGAAACTATTATTACCCCCTCGGGTCCCTTGGTCCCTTACTGTTTTTTCTATTGTCGCGATACACTTTAAAACATCTATTTTTTGTCTAAATAAATTTATTAGTTCCCTAATTCAGCACCGTTGTTTTCGATGGAGAGTTCTTCTTGGAGTTCACTCACTAAACAGGAGAAACCTTCCTTGGAAAGCTGGGTGCACTCAAACTCAGAAGGGATGGTGATATTGTCGTCATTTAAAATGAAGACTCCTCTGATGTAACGGTTCCTGCGGGAAGACATTCTTCGGACGAATATTAGATAGGGCATTGCTCCTTGATTCCACATGTGTTCCATGAACGCATCTTGGTCGTCACCATTTGATGGGAAATAGAACTTTAGGGCTACGGTCATGGTTTGTGTAGGGGTCATAAAATTGATGAGACTTTAAAGAGTTTTGAATTGTGAGCAAACATGACATCGACAACTAAACATTACCAATTCATGTTGTTTTTCAATTGCGTTGGAGGTAGGAAGAGACGGCCACAAGCGGAGAAATGGCGTGAAGACGCATTGGCATACCTTAAAAGACTATTTGAGAATAAGGCAGGGTTTGCCTGTATTGCTCGAGACGAAAACAAGTCCTCTCTATTGTTAAGGGGGTATGTGAACCTCAAGTCGCCTTGTAGACAGCCACATTTTAAGGGAATGCTTGGAAAGTACAGCGTCTGCAAGCCATCCTATTGCAATACACGGCTCTTAGCCTTATTCGCGACTCGATCCTAGATAGGGTTTGAGTTCGACTCATGACTGAGTCTCTCGTGAATAGTCATTTGACAGGGTTCTCAATGACCGCGCTAGTCATACTAGGTTGATGATGAAACATCGCTAGATATTTAGCCAGCGGGTACTTCCACGCTACTAGATCCAGCTAGACAAACCTTCCACACGTTCCTTTTAGGATCGTGGAGAGAGTAGGATTACTACCCAACCTACTCTATCACACTTAT